GTGGCCAGGGGGACGCCCCCACCAAAAAACGCCCTTTTGACGACAAAATAGTATTATGTGAACCTTGAACCACCATGAGTTTGGTGTCATATGAAAGAGAGTTAAATTATCAACATTTTGATACCAATTTCAAAGAATTTGGGATTAATTAACATCGCAAATTTAAGTAAAAAACATGATTTTAGTGATTTTTTTCGAAAAATTTAATTTTATCAAAAAACATTATTTTCCATGTATCAAAATCGGAGAATTGCATTTTTTCATAATTTTCCAGGAATTTGCTTATGTACAACGACAATATCCTGTGCGAGAGAGAGGTTTATGTATCGTTTGAATAAAAAGTTATTGTTGCCCACATGTGTAATAAATGGATGCATATACGTGTATTAAGGACTTGTTTGGTGTGCTAACATCGAGTTTTAAAGATAACTTTGAACTAAAACCTCTAATCACCATGTAGTTGGTGTCAAAAGATGGATAATTAAAATACCTTCATTCTGATATCGATTTCAATGAGTGATGTAGTGTGTGAAATATAAATTTTGAGCCAAAAATGTGCTCTATTGTAGATATTCCTCTGATTTTTTGCCAGTATATCGGTATATTAACTGGACAAACGTTATTAGACATTTAGTAGTGCAGAAAGTTCAAAGGATTTAGAGTATATATCTAGCGAATAAAAACTAATATATCTATAAATATTGTACGAGATTCACTCCAGTTTGAAATGTTTGATAGAATTTCCTAATATTTGATTTGACCATAAAAATTATGTGTCACACGCTATAATGAATCATTTTCTATCCCGTGATCACAGGTCTCATCACAGATCATGTCTGCGATGGAGGGCACTATATTTGTTTCTGTGCATTTCGCTTATTCAATAGAAAAGGTTTCTATCGAATAATTATTGCCACCCATGGTTTTTCATTTGATACATAACGGTCATTAGGCTGACAGTTAAATAGTGATTGCGATGTAATTCATTTTAATGATATTAATCATGACGGCAGCTCTAACTTTTCTACTTGAAAAGAAGAAAATACGGATTCTTAAAAAACAGATACACACTCACACCCACATACACACAAACACAGATTCTCCTTGGTTTCTCGCAGGTATGTGGGGGAGCATGTTTGTGAGAAGGTTGCATTGCAAACTAGGCGCCAAAGATGGATTGTACGATCGAATAATCAACGTACGAATTGATCAAGATGGTCTGCGATCCGAGACTGCGGAAACCAGGCGCGGATCCAGGATTTCTTAGGGGGGGGGGGCCAAATTTGAAATTATGCGAGCCAAATATTGGTACGTACTGGTGACCAACAGTGAGGTAATGCGGGGGGGGGTCGGTGCAAGGAGGGGCGAGTTTCCCCCTCCCTCCTCCGCAAAACACGGAAGCTTTGACGTTTCATTCAATTATTAGAGAAAGAAGACGATTCGTTGCACCGTTCCCGAAAATAATCCTCGTCTGAATTCAGTTTTCCCTGAAGCTTTTATTGTTCATTAAATCATTAGAGAAACAAGACAATTCGTTGTACAGTTTTCGACCCTTAATCCTCGTCTGAATTCAGTTTTACCCCTCCCGCGCGAAGCGCGGAAGCTTTGACGTTTCATTAAATTATTAGAGAAAAAAGACGATGCGTTTTACCGGACTCTTAATCCTTATCTGAATTTCAAAGATGTTCCTGTCTGTTTTTACAATTCATTAAATTATTAGAGAAAAAGACGATTCGTTGTACAGTTCTCGACTCTTAATCCTCGTCTGAATTGAGGTTCCCCCCCCCCCCCCTCCCGTGCAAAGCGCGGAGGCTTTTGAGTTTCATTAAAATCATTAGAGAAAGAAGACGATTCGTTGTACCGTTCTCGAAAATAACCCTCGACTGAATTTAGTTTTCCCCCTACCTCCCGCGCAAAGCGCGGAAGCTTTTACGATTCATTTAATCATTTGAGAAAGAAGACGATTCGTTGTACCGTTCTCGACTCTTAATCCTCGTCTAAATTCAGTTCCCCACCCCCTCCCGGAAGCTTTTACGTTTCATCAAATCATTCCCCCCCCCCCCCTCCCGCGCGAAGCTTTTTAGTTTCATTTAAATCATTAGAGAAAGAAGACGATTCGTTGTACCGTTCTCGAAAATATTCCTCTACTGAATTTAGTTCTCCCCCCCCCCCACCCCCCGCGCGAAGCGCGGAAGCTTTTACGATTCATTAAATCATTTGAGATATAAGACGATTCGTTGTACAGTTCTCGACTCTTAATCCTCGTCTGAATTTAGGTTACCCCCTCCCGCGCAAAGTGCGGAAGCTTTTATGTGTCATACGATTATGAGAGAAAGAAGACGATTCGTTGTACCGTTCTCGAAAATATTCCTCGACTGAATTTAGTTTCCACTCCCCCCCCCCCTCCCCCACTCCCGCGCGAAAGCTTTTTAGTTTCATTAAATAATTAGAGAAAGAAGACGATTCGTTGTACCGTTTTCGAAAATAATCCTCGTCTGGATTCAGTTTTTCCCCTCCCGCGCGAAGCACGAAAGTTTTTACAATTCATAAAATTATTAGAGAAAGAAGACGATTCGTTGTACCTCTTCGAAAATAATCCTCGTCTGAATTTAGTTTCCCTCCTCCCGCGCGAAGCGCGGAAGCTTTTACTGTTCATTAAATCATTAGAGAAACAAGACAATTCGTTGTACAGTTTTCGACCCTTAATCCTCGTCTGAATTCAGTTTTACCCCTCCCGCGCGAAGCGCGGAAGCTTTGACGTTTCATTAAATTATTAGAGAAAAAAGACGATGCGTTTTACCGGACTCTTAATCCTTATCTGAATTTCAAAGATGTTCCTGTCTGCTCCTTTTTCTTCCTACGTCCTCTTCCTTTTCTCTCCTGTCTTTGTTTTTTTGTTTGTTTTTTTGGCCGGCAATTTTGGGGGACCGCCCCATCGCCCCTCCCCCCCCCCCCCCCCCCCCTGGCTAGGCGCCTGCGGTCAGATAAACACATTTTGATACTTTGTCCGACCCCGGAAGCTCAGGGGTTTAAGGCAATAAATTACGGTCAGATAAGCATTCAGGGGCCCGCCTTAGGGCCCCTGGTTGGGTCGAGGCGGTGGAGCCCCCGGAAGCTCAGGGGTTTTAGGCGTTTAATTACAGTCAGATGAGCATTTTTTTGTTGATACCTTATTATTTTGTGACACTGGCAGGACACTATTTGGCGTGGGGTCCAGGGGGTGGAGCCCCCTCAAATCAGGGGTTTTAGGCATTAAATTAGCGTCAGATGAGCACCTAAGGGCCCGCCTTAGGGCCTTAGGTGGAATCCAGGCGGCAGAGGGGTGTTTTAGGCATTTAATCACGGTCAAATGAGCATATTTTGATGCCTCATTATGTTTTGACAATGGCAGCTAACTATTCTTTCTGTCTTGCTCTCTTTCTTTTTAATTTCTCTTTAATTTTATACTTTTCCAAAAAAGTGGGGGGGGGGGGGGGGGGGGCTCGAGGCTCCCGATCCACTCCGTACCTCGGGCCCTGACATGTAGAAATCTCAAGAATCATATATTCTTGCCTGGCTGTAAATTTAGGCATTTGTCATTTTCCAACAAACACATTATGTCATTCCAGCATTATTTGTAATCCACCGTTATGGAATTAGAATGAAACCACGTTTGAGTTTGATTCTTCCCCCCCCCCCCTTATCAGTACGCCAGTATCTCCTCTTTTCCCTTTTTCTTTCCCTTTCCTTCCTTCTCTCTTATTTTTTTTGATTTGGGGGGGGGGGGGGGCAACAGCCTGGGAGGCAAGCAAGGCCCTTTCGCCCCCCCATCTCCTTATTCCCCCGTTTCTTTTCTTCTTCCTCTTCTTTCTTTCCCTTTCTCTCCTCTTTCCCTTTCCCTTCTTTTCCCTTTTTTTTTTTTTTTTTTTGCGGGGGGGGGGGGGCCAAGGCACGCTCGGCCCCCCCCCCCCCCCCCCCTGGATCCGCGCCTGGCGGAAACATGTGTAAAAAGACGCACAGTGAGTTGTCTCTCTATAAAGACCACATTTTTCGTTTCTCTTAAAAATCGGTCCTCGTAAAAACTTTTATTAAAACTGAATCTATACTTAATGACCATCTGTCTATAAAGTCCATTGTTCTTGTCTCACTTAAGCGGTCTTTACATACAGTTTGATCGTTATCTTACCCCGTATGTTGTTTTTGTTTTTAAATTAAATAGAATCAATAGTCTTAATAAAAAGCTCTATATATCCAGCTTCTTCTCGAAGCTCGGAGGGTGATTCTCTCTCCTTTCTCTCTCTCTCTCTCTCTCTCTCTCTCTCTCTCTCTCTCTCTCTCTCTCTCTCTCTCTCTCTCTCTCTCTCTCTCTCTCTCTCTCTCTCTCTCTCCTCCTCTCTCTCTCTCTCTCTCTCTCTGTGCTCTCTGCCATTCTACTACACTTGTGCAGTGTCATTTCCCTCCAAATGTTCGTTCCCCCCCCCCCCACATTGATTCTTGAAGTGGTTTCTCTCTTGGTCTTGTATACCCTCTACTTCTCCTTCTAGCGAATCATTCAAGAACGACTGATGTCTTTAAATGTGGCCATAGTATTTCGCCGATGCTCCTTAAACCATCTCTCCTCGGATGTTTCGTTTGAGCCCTACGGCACGCATGCAATATGCAATATTTCTCTTTTAGATTTAATATCTTTCTATGAAATTCTCATCCTCCTCATGTACAACCATTTTTCAAATGATGTGACTTAATTTTCTATGGTCTTTGTTTCTGCCCATACAGTAAAACATGTAATTAAGTTGGATTAATTAAGCTTCGCTTCGAACGGCGCTTAGATCACCATCACGCATTGGTAGTTCCAATCACGACGTCCCAGCCATTCCAATCGAAGAATTAAGGGGCTTTGGGTGTCCACTATACAAATAATACAAAAGAATTGATGTCCAGCCCGGACGCTATTGTTCCCTTGTAACTGATAAATCCATCCTCTTCCCGTAATTATATGCCATCAAGATTCACGTTCTTACATAATATACCCGCCTGAGTAACTCGGGAGCATGCACAACAAATGCAGGTACATGACATTGAATTCGACCTTTGTATTGCGCACAAAATCCCTGGGAGTCAAAGTGGAGAACACATACAAGAATATAGCCAAACTACGATGGTCATGATGGCGTGGAACATAATTTGAAAAGTTAACTTACATTAGCAATAAATCAGGCATAACTACCAAGGAGATCTAAATTTGGACATGGAGATATATTGAACGGAGGTAAGCATGTATTTATTGTTTCTTCTAATTCTGTTATTGGGAGTAAGGATAATCTTTGTTTTTTAATTATTCATTCATTCGCTCTAATGTAACTCGCTCAATCCAATTTGTTTTACCTGAGAGGCCCTGTACAACTTATAGGTTTCAAATACAAAGTAGATACATGCATCCCATATCTTGGAACTTTTTTTATAAAACATGATACATGTATAACCATGGAAAATATAGATATTTGACCAGCTTATACATGATACCCGTCCTTTCAAACCGATTGGCAACAAAATAAAATCGGGAAAGTCGAATACAAAAGAAAAATGTTACTAGCTGTTAGAAAATATTACAAATATAGTGTTCCCCAGTACAGATTTGCTTATGACTGTTTTGACTGCATGGGCTGTCCAGGGGCAGCGAAATGCGAGATAATCTACAATATCTACTTGTACATTTTGAAGGATATTATGCGAGAGAGAGCAGCGACTGAGCGAGAAGTAGTTTTGCATTTTGAATTAGTCTAAACGCTGCACTCTTGGGCCCTCCACAGCCTAAAAGTGTGTTGCCGTCTTTAGTCAGTATTTGCTATACATTTTTTTTTGGGGGGGCACTTTTTCAAATTTTCTGGGGGTGCAATTCCTCTAAATGAGGGGCATGTCCCCCTCCCCCCCCCCCGGTAGTATTTGGGTCAGTGGATTGTGACGTAGGACGAGGACTACTCTCCCATTTGTCCGTGTACAAAATCTCATTCATTTATGTTTTTCTCGTAAGTTCCTTCTCCCTTGGGGCAGTACTCAAAATATATTATAGATAGCATATTATTAAAGGTCCTTTGAAAAGAATAAATCCTCCTGAGCCATGAATTTTTGAAAAATTAAATTTTAGTTATTTTACATGTTAGAACAGATGGGAAACTAGTCCGGCACTACATTGACATTGACATTACCGCTTTGGCCAACTTGAATTGCCCCCTGCGTAAAGTTATTACAACTTTCAAAAATCCATAAATTTCTTATATTTGGTCAGATTTAATTGAAATTTTCATCAGTTTGCTTCTCTGATTTGTCTACTTTCTTTTAGAGTAGATGTTTATTTGGGTTGGATTTCCCTTTAAGTATGTATTTCTTTGCTGGCCTTTTTCCCACTATCAATACAGGTGTTCATCAGAATTTACAGGGCATGACTGAAAGCTTTAGATGTTTCGCCTGGACCGCCACCAATTATCATTGACCAGACGAAACCCTCGGTGGTAGAACCACGTAAATGGACATCATCTTTTAAAAATAATGTTCATCTTTAAACAATAATTTTCATCTTTGACAGTTGGCACTCTTACAAGTTGAAGAGCAAAACATTTTAATTTGTACTGCTTGACGTATTTCCAGAAATTAGAAGGCGATAGGATTACCATGGTAACAGACCAAGCTGGTAATGTCACTGACATATACATGGAACTTTACACCGAATTGTACACAGACTGGTCTACCGGGACACCGGATACGCAGCTTCGGATATCCGACGAAGCGGTTACGGCGGAAATCAATGGCACCGATGCTGCCGAAGATCATAACGGATGGATGTTTGAACCGTTCGTGCTTTCTGCTTTCGTCATCTTGCAAATAATAATCGCGGTGTTAGGTATCGTGGGAAACATCTTTGTCTTATTGGCGACGAGTAGAGGTAAAAAGAACCTGAAGACAACGAATATCTTGGTGTGCGCACTTGCAGTTGCCGATCTGCTTACATCTTTTATGATCTTGCCTTACCCTAACGTGCAGTCCGTACCCAAAACGATTCTTGGCGAGTTGTACTGCAAGGTGGTCGCCTCTCGTTTTTTCATGTGGACATCCGTCGTAGCTTCCATATTCACGCTGACGGCGATTTCGATTGAGCGATACCTCGCGATATCACATCCTTTCTTTCACAGACGCGCGGTGACGAGAAAAGGCATACGAACAACTATAGTAATCATTTGGATTGTGGCTTTCTTTCTCAATATCAATCCCTTCTTCGTCGAATATGTCGACAGTCATTCGTGCGTCTTCAAGTACCGCCATCGTGACTTGGCCGGTAGGGAATTTTATGGCGGTATCGTCTTCCTGACCGAATTCCTCACACCGTCTGCCATTATGATGACAACGCATATACTTGCGTCGCGCACACTCAACAGAGGACTCGCGCGTTTCAAGAACACGCAAGGTTGCGCGGGGCCGCGTGCAAACTTGATAGTGGCAAAGAAGCGAAACATGGATTCGCTTTTAATAATTTTTCTGACATTTGTGATGTGTTGGGGGCCTTATCAAGTACTCTTCTTGCTTTTTAACTCCGGAGTACTCGACCATACTTACCTTGAAGGCGTTGCATATTCGTGCACGGTGCTCTTAGCGTTATTTCACTCATGCGCTAATCCTTTGATCTATACCATACGATTTCCAATATTCCGATCTGTGATTCTCTCGATGCTATCATGCTGTGGAGACAGTGGAATGGACAAAAATGCCCGGGTCAATATGTTTATGTCTGATGACACGATCTAAGGTAAAATTTACGATGAAGTGTGAAAAGAAGATGTTTTACCATGCATTTAAGATTTTTTTTAAACCACATAAAGTGTTACGAATGAGGCAAATGCTAATCACAACGATCTGATCAGGAATAACTGCGGCCTTGATACGCACTAAGTATTATATTATTATAAGGGAGCTTCACTTAAATTTTTGAAATTGGGATCCGAGTGGAAATGGTTGAGTGGCTGGCTAGCTTTCCCCGTTCTGTCACGATTAGTTACAATATTCCAGGGGGTGGAGGTTTTTTTTTAAGTGCACAAATGAAATGACACTACAAAGTTGTTCTAATGTAAATAACTCCCTTTACTCGGAGAAAAGGTGTGTTTTTCTTTCATGTCTAAGTTATTTGACGATGATGGTAACAATATTTTCTACCCAACATTTAATATACGGATAGCTTTGTTAAATAGTTTATTGTTGTATGTGGCATAGCTGCATCTCCATTGGTACATGACTTACTAACTAAATGAGTACATTCTCCTTTTGCAATAAGCCGTCCGAATGTAAGATCCCGGTGTAAGATACACCGAAGAGATACCAGCTATCCTCCTTGGATACACAGATCCTTTAGATAATTGTTTATAAGTACATGTACAGTTATAATCGAACGCATAGAGGTCTCATTATTAGAACGCTAGAGGGCGTACTTCCTCAGATTGATGTAGTCATTGACCTTATACTTTTTGTTCTATATAATTCAGATTGCTTAATTTATATTGAACTAATTAATATACATATGATATGTCTATACTGTAAAAATCGTTCCTTTGTATAATATTGTATCCGAAAATATAAATATGAAGTATTACCGTCACCTTTTCTTTTTATTATTACAAAACCTTTTTTTTCTTCTCCCAAAATGGCAGAATATTATTGTATTACAATTTGTATACTTTGATTGAAGGTGTACTATATTTTTTTTTAAATACTATGGAATTATATTAAACAAATATATATCTGTGTTTATAATGGGGGAGGTGGTAGTTGTCGTAGGGGGTAGTTGTCTGGGGTCCAACCTGCTTCGTTCGGGCATGCAGGACGCGTAGATTTTGCCCGGAATAAGATGGCGCACTGCCTATTTGTGTATAGTGCGTGCTCTAATTTTTTAATATAGGATCTCTATAACAGATCGAAATATCTCAACATTCGCTCGACATCTCGGTTAATATTAATGAACCGAAATGTAAAGCGGATTTGATAATAATTATTGCTCATTATTTTCAGCTATTATAATTATATAAGACTATGGATCGCTTAAATGATGATATCTCTTCTTTATCTGCCATTCGATCCCCTACTCCCTCCCCCACTCTCTCTCTCTCTCTCTCTCTCTCTCTCCCTCTCTCTTTCTCTATGTATCTCTCAGCCTGTTTGTGTAACGACCTCTTTTTCCGTCCTTCACGTTCATCCTCTTGTTCACCACCCCGCCTTCTTATTTTTAAATCGCTGTTTCAATTTAAATCCTTTCATGAATAATTTGATATACAATGTGCTTTTTTAAAAATTATATCCTTTGTGAACAGCTGCTTATATGTTACATTTCAATTGTTTATTGTTTTTTTTACTCTTCAATTTGAGCTTTATAAACATGTCCTTACAGACCGTGTCAACAACAATAAATTGTTAAGGAGTGCAAAAAGAAATGTTTGCTTATATCTTTATTTTTTACGCGTAGGACTTAGCTATATCTAGACATCTAGTTAGGTAATCAAACGGCTCCAATTATATTGTCTGGGGATGAAGCAAAAAGGTTTGAAAAACCCGTACAGGGCTGCACCCCTTATAGAAATGCAAAATATAGCAATAAACATGATCATTATAAAACGAGATATGAACCTAAGAAATACGTCGGTAAAATATGAAAAAGATAAATATGAATAAAATCATTCTATCAAAAGAATAGAGTATTTAAACGTGGAAGCCGATGTAAATTTATTGCTGAAAACAATATGGCGCTAACTGATATTTTTATAAATAAAATGTGCCCAAAGTGTCCAGATTTCATGTTTTAAGGGGCCCACTATTGTTATGCATTTCATAACAAATACTTTGGCTGAAAAAGTTGGTTTGGACCAGGTGAAGAAATCTCATTATGAACAATAAACTGAAATATATGGTAACAGTTAAGATACATAGAGGACCACAGAGGCCCGGGAATTCCTCCAATTAAATGGGCCGAACTGAGGATAAGTCTAATGGGCTCACCTCGATCATGACGGTTTAGAGGACTGCTTTAAACTATTTCATGACGTAATGGGGCGTAGTGAATCTTTATTTCGGTATCAAAATACAATGTTACATTATTATTATTATTATTATTATTCATTTGACCGATCGGAAAACATATACAATGAGCATAACAATAAGATATAACATAGAAATTTCATATTACATGCAAACAGCTAGAGGAAAGTGGAGAGGAGAGAGAGAGAAAGAGAATACAATCTGCTGGTCAGGGGTAACAAAAGCAATTGAAATTGTTATTACTAGAATGCATGTCATCCCCCACAGCTGGCTGCATCCTGGAACAGACAGAAAAAACGCGACGATACTGAACTGTGTTCATATCAGTTTATCAGGCACGCAAACGTTATGATAATTTTGTAGAGCTTCCGAAGGCCCCCTCACGTGCATTAAATAAGTTCATTGTGGGTAAGAGGCTTCGATGACCATGCATGCAGGCCAAAAGCTGACTTTTGAGAGTCTAGACGGAACAATAGTAATTCAAGAGCATCAAACTATGGTGAGATGATAATATATTTCATTTCTCTTGACATTTTGAAGTGTGTTATACTAAATGTACTTCGTCAATTCATCCAATTATACATAATTTTGAGGCACGTGAAGGCCCCCCCCCCCCCCCGAAGTCCTACAAAATTATCATAACGGGTTGACCTGCCTGACAAAATATGAACACAGTTCGATATCGTCGTTTTTGTTGTTGTTGCTTCGAAGCTTTAGAGACACCGTACAGGTATGTCATTTTGAGAATTTATTGTACTGCTGGATTCTTTTCTTTGTGAATACCACCGATATTCAGGTAAAACATTGCTATTAGCAAACGTGATGAGTGTCTTGATATCTGTTTTATACAATTTTGACGAATTGCTCTACTTTTTTGCATGATTTTTAAATGTTAAACCACTCCATACTGACTACTATGATTAATCTGGACCATTTAAACCTTCCACCTTCCCTCGCCTCATTACCATTCAGTCCCACATATGGCGTCTTGTGTCATAGCTGTGGAATAGATGTATTGTGTGTGCGTACATGTAGATCTACAGTAGACCGAAAGCTTCAGTCTCTATACCGTCGGTTATTCCACTGAGACTACGTCTGGCTCCACTAGACCTCCGGTTATAGAGACAGAACGATCGCCTATGCCAGCCTATGTTGAAGATATCACGGCTAGATTTTAGCCGTTAGGCCCCTCCCACAAACATGAACAAACTTGCCACGGCCGTATTGTTATGCCCCCAAAATCCCCCAAAATGTCATTTTACCTCGTGCATATCCAATTTTACATTAGGTCTAGGCTATAATACATCGGTTCCACTTACTAACTTGATTGAAATAATCCGTTTAATGGTCCCTTTTAAGGAAATTATGGGTCAAAATCGACATCCATGTTGAAAATCTTGCAAGCCGTGTTAAACTCTCGCTGCCGTCAATCTCATCCCTTCTAGTCTACGCCGAAGGCAAAATGATTATGAAGGAAAAACTGTGCGCCATCTACACGTTCGTAATGGCGTTATCACAGTTTTTCCTTCATAATCATTTTTGCCTTCGGAAGGAGGAGGCCCTTTTTTTCTTTCAAACTGGTCGCTCGGTACATTTTCCCTGACAGTCGGGCCATTTTTCAAGACGGCTGCCGACATTTTTTTATTTGTAAATCAGAAATAGATTCATTTTAGCAGTGTTTTTCATGTTTTTTTTCTTCAAAAAATCCCCCCAAATAAAAAAAACAAAAAATACACAAATTTCAAAAAAATAAAATATGAGACAGCCCCCAAAAAGGAAGCAGATGGGGGCACTAAACATGTATATTTGTTTAAGTGGCCTTGTACATCATTTTGCTCATTTTTTTGCTCATTGTTTGTTGCATAATTTCACCTTGGGTTACACTATGAGTCAGTATGTCAATGGTTGACCCCTCATTTTAAAGTATTTTAAAACCACTTCCAGACTACACAAAAATTGATATCATTAACATAACTCATAAAATTCATAAAACTTCCGAGATCTACTAAACTTAAGGTCCTGATAGGTGTGGAAAACTTTAAAAAAAAGTGACATTTGTCAACCTTCCCCATGCACAGACAGTCAGTACCCCTTGCTGTATGCACGGGGGGGGGGGGGGGGGGGGGGGGGGGGGGGGGGGGGGGGGGGGGTTGACTAGCCATTTTCCGCCAAAATCCTGTGAAAATCTGCCATCGTTTATTTTCTTTATCCAGATGTAACACTAACTCTAACAATTTGATTTAAATGAGAAAAATGACACTTTAATTGGAAAGAAAATAGATATGATTTTCATTTCAATATAAAAGTAATATAGAAAATCATTGTAAAACATCAAATATAAAGACTGAATTTCAGCTATTAAATCTGTTCATGTTCTTCAAGCAAATGGATTCTATCTTGGCCTCTACAATAGAGTCTAGTAAATTGAAAGTCATTGTTACACTCCCTGTCACCAAATTCCATGTTCTTGTATTTAGACTGGTAGCTGTCCACCATGGCTAACTGCAAAACCCCTGTGAGTATTCTACAAGAGCTGTGTGCCAAGAAAGGTGTGACACCGGTCTACGACACCATCGGCCAGGAAGGGGCGTCCCATCAGCCAAAGTTCACCATTCGCTGCACTGCTGGCGATGTGGTGGGTAATGGACAGGGACCCAGTAAGAAGGTCGCCAAGCAGTCGGCAGCAGAGGATGTTCTTCAGCAGCTTGATATTGAAGTCCCTGCTGTGGAAACGGAGCAAGACGAGGGAAGGTGAGATAGCGTCAACAAGAGTTATCTTGTGCAAAGATGGAACTTTTTAAAGCTTGTAGTGTCTTTGATATTTTCGTTGTTTGTTTTTCGAGAACTGTATAAAAAAAATACTAAGGTCTTGTCATGTGTTTAAAGATGAGAAGTATCTAAGCAAGGTTCAATACTAACTTTTGGAAGGGGGTCCAGAATGTTAAAGACTTTGAAGATATGAGGTGCCAATGTGTCTTGGGCACCTGTTAGTGTTGAGCCCTCCATGGGCATACAAAATCTAAGGCAGAACCTCCAAAATGTCAACATTTGAAGATGTGCTTTATGAATATAGACTTTCAAAATAACTTACAGACCCTCTATGAAAAAAGTTAGTATGGGCCTATGGTGCCCTGGATTTTGTGAGATTTTATTTTCCATAATTACCAGAATACAAGATTGTCTGTGAGAAGAATTCATCTACAGCACCTTCACAGCGTCTTACAGCTCCTTGAAAATAATCAAATAAAATCAAATACTCGTGACCAACTGATTTGTAGTGATTTGGCGAAACTGGATGTGACTTTAATGAGGCTTTATTTTATTCTCTTGCTAGATCTCTAAAAGACAACCCCGTTGGTGAACTGCAAGAGTTGGTGACCTGTATGGGATGGAGGAAGCCAGAATATGAAGCTCTGGAGGAGAGCGGTCCGCCACACAACAGACGCTTTGTCATCTCAGTGTCTGTCGACAAGTACAAAGAACAAGGTACATAATGATAACTATTGGGCATTATTTGTGTGTATGATCATGGGTTAGGATACAGTGAAACCTGTCTATAAAGACCACCTAAGGAAGACAAGAAAAGTGGTCTTTATAGGCAGGTGCCTATAGTACATGTTTCAATGAGAAACCATTTTCAAGGGAAACAAACAGTAGTTCGTAGACAGGTGGTGTTTGTGGTCACTTCAGCAGGTTTAGTTAATAGTTTTTAGGTTCAAATCCCAGCTCTTTTGTCTTTGTTGAGAGCATGACATCTCCATCTTTCACTCTTGATCCATGTAAAAGAAGATGGATCGGTGGCAGATATTAAATTACTTGAATGCGTAAGAGCCTTTATCATGAGAGATATTATATACCATTATTAACAAATTCAGATATTTTATGTAAAAATGATGAATACACACATGTAGACTATAGGCTATTTATTCATACTTCTCATTGCAAAAGCATGATATAAATAACAGTTTAGAATTTGCATTTAAAAGATAAAGTTGAGTTCTAGTGGAGTGATTGCATTGTGAAAGATACCGTCAGGAAGCAATTAGGAATGGTTGATTACGTAGTAGAGACATTTTGGAGTCATAAAAATGATAGAAGATAAAATCACTCTTGATTTGAGTCACATGCACGGCACATCGAAATATGTATATGGGACTACACACATGTGGCATAAAGGTATGGTCGAACTTTCAGATATTTCTCATCATACTCTGAATATGAGGGCATATGAAAAGCAGTCCTCTTCACTCTTCAGGGGACATTTCATTTATGATATTTTTCTACACTAACAAAATGAGTGAAGAAGCTCAGCAATTAAATTTCAATGTTTATCAGAACCCAACCTCCTGTTTAATGCTCGCTAATTATGAAAGATATTGTCTCTTATCCTTCATTTTTCAGGTGTTGACCAGAGTAAGCGCCTTGCCAAACGAGCAGCTGCCAGTGCCATGCTTGAAGTTCTCCGTAAGCTACCGGCGGACATAAACCCTGGCCTCATAAACAGAAAACAAAAGGTATTGCAGAGTTGTTAGTCACAGAACTCGGCATTGTTTCACAAACCCTTATTGAAATTAGTACACGTGCCAATGGGTGACAGTTTCGTGAAACAATGCTCAGATGGCTTGTAAATTCTTACAAAAAACCTCAGATTAATAGATGTTCCCCCCCCCCCCCTGCCCCAACAATAAAAAAAAAGCCCTTGACACCAGGAAACCTTTTATCTATTTCATTACACAGTGGTCACCTCAAGAGGGTTTTTCATTTGTTGATAAAATAAAAAAGACTTACCGCCATGTCATGGGAGTCATTCCTCATAAAATTTGTTTAGCACTTTGGTTGCTTCCCTCGTCTCTCTGCACAATCACTCGTTTGCCACACGTGCGATTTCAAACAAAACAATAGGCACCAATTGATTGATTGTCTTAGCCACCTCAAGAAAATCTTTTTAACACCGATATATACAGTCAAACCTGTCTATAGCGACCGCCCAAGGGAAACACAAATAGTGGTCTTTGTAGACAGGTGGTCTTTGTAGACAGGTTCCTTAAGTACATGTTTCAATGAGAAACTATTTTCAAGGGAAACAAAAAATGTGGTCTTTGTAGACAGGTGGTCTTTATAGACAGGTGGTCACTAAAGCAGGTTTGACTGTACATCAATCTCGCACTGCAAACAGATAGATGATCTTGAAGCCTGTGGTAGATCTATCCCATGATAAATACAATGTAGGACAGGGAGATGATTAGTGTGGTAAATACAGTGTTAACACTGTTGGTCTTCATTAGTTGCATACCCATTAATTCGCTGACACCAGACTTGGTGGAGATACCATCAATGGGAGTTCTATCAAGAAATACCCCCTAGTCTCCGAGGGTCTTCTGGTGAGGGAAATGCAAAACATTATCTAAGGCCTGTTGGTCATAAAATTGAAGGCCACTCTGGATGATTGACAATACTATGAGAGCCCACTCCTATGCATCTTTAACTTTTAGGTGTTACTCACAGATAACTTCTAGTACAGTAAAACCTGTCTAAAAAGACCACCCAAGGGAGACAAAAAGAGTGGTCTTTATGTACAGGTTCCTTTAGTACATGTTTCAACATGAAAACCATTTTCAAGGGAAACTAGAAAAATATTTATTTCCTCTTTTCCTCTGTCTTCAAGCAGAAGCATCCAAAGCTGCCTGGACCGCATCGCCTATCCATCAAGAATCTACCTCAAGCCGAAGGAAACTTCATCCGTAGCCTCAAATGAACCCACTCAATTTCCCAGGTAAAAAGAAAATTGAACTCCTTAAAGAGAAGGTTGAGTTCTGGGAAGAGGTGAAAAATAATTATGAGCGTTATTTATTGTATTATGCAAGTATGGAAGAGCATCAGATAAAAAATGTTCCCTGAAAAGCATGGCTCTTCAAATGCCGTAATATTCTTAACATGGCATTTAACATCATAAAATCGGGACAGATTTTTATGCCACATGTTTGTGTAGTCCCATATACATCTTTTTGTGTACAGTGCTTCTAACTTTACCAAGATTGGGCCGAATTTCCTATCATTTTGATGATTCCATGCTTGATGCTCAACCTTCTCTGATCAATTCCACAACGTTTCTTTCACAATGTAGTCGCATGAACAGAACTTCTGAAATTCTCTGTAATTTCCATTCCTTTGACATAGAAAATCCAAAGTCAATTGCACATTTTTAATGACAGTTGTTTTCATAGCAAGAAGCTGTTTTAAGTCCTATAAAGTCTTGTGTTGTGATGCAATTATTTTGTGGCATGAAGCATATTAAATGTCCATTCTAAAAGAATAAAAATATTGTGCTAAAATAGTAATCTGTAATTATAATAAGATATGAAATCAAATATGTTTAGCGTTACTCTTTACCCGAGTTTTACTTTCTGGAAGAATGTTGATTAAGGTTAATCTATAGATGAGCGGGTATAAAGTGACCAACCAACAAAAAATAGAAAGAAATCTCTGTCAGTGCAAAAATTTAACATATTAGATTTAGTTCGAATTCGATTTTACACCAATTTCATTAAAGTAAAAACAAATTTTAAAATGATAGGTTCCATGTCAGATACTTTCACCTTATTTGTGAAAAAGGGACTTGAAATTTTAAGTGCTTTGAATTTCTTTTTCTACAACACAATTTCTAGACCCCACCTACTCCAGCATGCTTCAAGACCTTGGTAACGAGCAGAGCTTCAAAGTAGAATACGTCCCCATCGAAGAACAGACGCAGGCTGGCCACTACCAGTGCTTCGTCAGGCTCCAGACCGCACCCGTCACCGTCTGCTTCGCCAACGGCCTCTCCCGCAATGACGCCATGGAAACATCCGCCCACAATGCACTGCAGTACTTGAAGGTGATGGCATTGAAAGTGCCTGCCCCGCCCAAGCCGAGCACGGAACCCAACGGACAGATGCGGATTAATGCGGAACCCCGCTGATAGAGGCTGTACTTACTTTCATTTTGTCTATTTTTCGCCAGGTCCACCATGGCATATTCAGAGAGATAGTTGCGACATGTGTGCACATTCATAGGCCAAGTCATGGAGCTCCAAATAGTTTGCCCTAATAGAGATACATACAACATCAACTGTGATGTATATTTTTATCACAATAATGGTATTTTGACACCTAATGTATTATTTCAGTAATTTACTATTATTGTTTATATTAATGACTCTAATGAAAATCTTTTGTAAAAAAGTTGTATTAATGAGAGAGAGATGAGCATTTTTTGCTGTAGACGATGCACTTTACAAAATCACAGAGGAAACTATTGAGGCTCCATGAAATGGCTGCGATGACGTACCTATCTCTCTCCAATAGCTATAGGTCCACCTAATGGTATTCTCATTTTGATAAGCCACCGTATTCGTGCTTTCTGAATGAATGCGTCTCTTGGAAATAGATTTGTAGAAAAAGGAAATGTTTCAAACAAAATTATTTGTACATTATGTCAATAGAGAAGAACGATGTCCTATATACTATGTTTACATTGTTGTTTGCCTGGCAGAAGGTCCTGAATATGCAACCTTGAAAATTTGATGTTTTTGTGTTTGTCTTAACTCGATAATGAGAGGGGGACTGGTTGAATTAGGGCCTTTCTTGAACACTTTTAGATGTAGCTTTAATGTGTCGCATTCTCAAGAAACATGAATCTGGACAAATAAATTTTTCACATCCTTACATAATTACAATACTTGGTAAGGGAATGAATAATTCAGCTGTTTGCTGTTTGCTGTTTAAATCCCTGTTATGTTAATTGGAAGTGTTTTAAACGTCCATTTTCTCTTTACAGAAGTCATTATTGAAGCTCATTATTTGAATAATATAGCGACATGGAGCAAAATATCTTTGGGTCCATACACTGGGTTTCATGCTATTTACATTTTTTTTGTCATACTCATTATCTGTGAGCCCAAAGGATGCTAAATATAATTTTTTTAGGATGATTTTATATCTTTTCTCTTCTTCAAGATAATCTGCCTCCTTCAATACTGAAGATTCTTGCAGATGCCGTACACTCGGCTTGGTTGGGGTATGCAGTGGAACCTCACTATAATGAGGTCCTTGGGACCATAGAAATCACCTTGTTATAACAGATAGCTCAATGAGGTTCAATTGTATTCTTGTTATACACAAATCGCTTTTTACGTGATTGGTACACTTTCAAACTTTTGAAGTGGGTATTTCTGTAAAGATACATCCCCTGGCCCTTCACAGTAATGCTCTTCTGCTAGATAAACAATGATAATTATGGTCAAAGATTAAAAGATGGTACAAAAAGAGTGTGACTTTAATAGTTAGGACATAAAAAATGTACAGATAATTTTTACTTCTGGTGACGGAGCAATGTTTATTGAGAAAAACATGTTCTTTTGTTATGTTGATATTTGGCTGTTCGGACGGGCAAGTTGTTAAAGAATTACAAAAACTTTCAAAAACTGACTGCAACAAAGCATCATATAGACTTTGGGTAGGTTCAGTGTTTGAGCTTCTTTTTAATTGAAAATTAATTTTGTAATCAATTTTTTAAATTTTTATGTAGTCCTTAAATTCATTGTAAAGTATGTTGATCATGAGTAATTATATCTTTTAATTATTACCAGGAATCAAGACTATCTCTAACCCTTGGTGTTTGTGTTTTATCCCAACGATTTGAGGACAACCTTTTTTTATTTGGACACTCTGATTTTCACTTCGGACATCAAATTCTTAATCCTAGCCAAAATCTAACTTGAGGTGTACATGTGTAGCAAGGATGGTCAGATCACTCGTTTGTTTGTACTAGAAACACCTTTTTTGTGTGTCATTTACGATTGAAAATCATATCAGATTTTCAAAATTGTATACAGGCATTAACTTGAATTTCAAACTTGCAACACATCATTATCAATGTTATACATGTATTATATGCAGTACTGGGTGCTTGTAATAATTTGAGTGTAATTATTTCTAAAGGTGTGTAGTGTTCAATGTAATGTCGTGTGTTTACCATTATATGAGCATGCACCTTCTCCGTCCAGTCGGAAGCCGTTTTTAGGCCGAATAAAACATGATTCTTAGTTTTCTGTCAGGACTGATCAAAATTTGAGGAGTAAGGGGTTCTGTTGTTTAATCCCGTGTATTTAAATTTTGTGTTTGTACAAAAATAATGGTATTCAGTTAATTTCAACACAAATTGTCATACTTTCCTTTCCTTTGACCATGCACTTCAGTAGTCCAGAATCTGGCTGGCTTCAGTTTATTTTGCGATCACGATCTCTTCCATCCCCTACCTGCTGTAAGCCGAAGTGAGCGTGATCCACAAACCCCTAAGCATCAATCAATGGTACGCCCAGCCAAAAAAATGTTGCCGGGCATAGAAACTCGGGCATCACGCCATCCACCTTAGGTTTGCAGCAAGTAGGGGGAGGCCGCAGTGGTGGAGATTGGTAAAAGGAAACTGACCAGATTCTGTACTAGTGCTTCAGAGGCTCAAATTAAGATAAGATTTGCGTTGTATTCATGATTTTTGTTACCTGTACCTCATTGACCAGACGACCTCAGATTCTTATTCATTTCATTTTAGAGTAAAAATATCCCCCCCCCCCCCCCCTAATATAGAGGCAGCCTGAAAGGCGAAGGAGGAGTAGACAAGAAATTTGGGACTTTTCTATTTGGCTTTACATGTACATTTTTTCAATTGCAGTGATAGGAATATGAAAATGGCGTTGTCTTTTAAAAGCTACCCCTTTTTTATTTGTTTTAATGTTGAATCTCCTACTTTTCTTGAAATTCAAACTGGTGTACAGTTCTTTACCATTAAACACTGTAACAAATTGAGTACTAAAGAATTGAGCAACAATTAAAACTTTTCTTTGGAAGTCTAAGATTTCCAACTCAAGTTAGTGCACTTCATGAATTTCTGCCATTATGTCAAAACATTGTTACTGAGGAATACAATGAAAGATAGTGAGAAGGTTATGATACTGTTTTTACTTATATTAATCATAATGGATCATGTTCAAATTGAATGAATTTTGTGTATTGTAAACTTTAAAATATGAGACACAATATTTGAATATTTCTCCCAGGAATCACAGAATAATTTTTCACTTTTTATGAAACGATATATCATGACATGCAAGTATGTTGTCTAGAAACGTTATATGAGTGATAATGATAATGTTTGAATGTTTTTATTGAAAATTCATGGACAGTGTTATGTATTGTGTCAGAGTGATGGACGTTATAATATTCTTACTCCTGTGGTGAAAAAGATGATGGATGGGACAACAATTATTAAAAATGTAAAACGGGTAGAAGTGTTGTACTAGACGCTATAAAAATGTTACTGGACTGGTGTCATGATTATTGCTGCCCAAAAGATGAGTAGTCTTGTTTATACAGTGCTATAACATAATCAGATCCCAATATGTGATTTAAATGAATATTCATGTTTATTCATTTTTTTATGTGTACATTACATGTAATACCTTGTTTTGTATAGTGGAATATTTGGTATGTTTTATACTTTTTTCAGTAGTTTTGAACTCCTTTTTTTTTTTGCCCCCAGAGGATGTGTACATGGAAGGACTTGAAGGAAGTGAATTAAAAAAAATAGAAATGATTAAAAAAAAAAACTAACACTGCTTTAAATCCAGCAGGTATTTATAAAAAGATATAGAGTGTATATCTGGTCATTTTGTTACTTTTGTACTCTTCAGGCAAAACAGCTCTCTTTTCTTCTACTTTTCCTTTTTCTTTTTCATCATTTTTTTCATCTTCTTCTTCTTCTTCTTTCTTCTTCTTCTTCTTCTTCTTCTTCTTCTTCTTCTTCTCTTCTTCTTCTTCTTTTTCTTCTTCTTCTTCTTCTTCTTCTTCTTCTTCTTCTTCTTTCTTCTTCTTCTTCTTCTTCTTCTTCTTCTTCTTTTTTCTTCTTCTTCTTCTTCTTCTTCTTCTCTTCTTCTTCTTCTTCTTCTTCTTCTTTTTCTTCTTCTTCTCTTCTTCTTCTTCTTCTTCTTCTTCTTCTTCTTCTTCTTCTTCTTCTTCTTCTTCTTCTTCTTTCTTCTTCTTCTTCTTCTTTTTTCTTCTTCTTCTTCTTCTTCTTCTTCTTCTTCTTCTTCTTCTTCTTCTTCTTCTTCTTCTTCTTCTTCTTCTTCTTCTTCTTCTTCTTCTTCTTCTTCTTCTTCTTCTTCTTCTTCTTCTTCTTCTTCTTCTTCTTCTTTTCTTCTTCTTCTTCTTCTTCTTTTTGCAAAAATTGCTGTTTGCAAAACAGTCGTAAGCCTTTGTCAACGGTTGTAAGACGGTGTCGCTGAAGTTAATTTTGATTCGCCAATGCTAGTGACCACGTTACCATATGGTTCATTCATAAAATCGACCCATTGAGTACCAGGAGTTAGCAAAACTGTCGTTAACATTTGTTTACAGCCAGCCCCTCCCCCAACTCGGTGTTTATCTAGGGTACGCGTATGCAATTCAAATTCAAACTTTATTGATTTAAATCCAAACATGTTCCCTCTTTATGAAAGCACCCCCTCCCCCTATCTCCGGTGTGAAAGTCAATGGCGGGCCGGACTTTGTCGCGCGAAAAAGTGCCAATTTACCGGAGATTTTGGGAGCACGCATGCGCTCCTTCGGACCCCGGAAATATCGCAGATGCAAACCCTGATTTTCGCCAATAAGCGACATTTGAACAAATCAGAGGCGGCCCTCCCGGGGGGCAGGGGGGCACAGTGCCCCCCACTTTTCAGATACCCCAAAAGTGCCCCTTTTTAGATAGGAAAAGTCCCCCTTTTATTTTGTAAGAAGTGCCCCTTTTACATAGGAAAGGTGCCCCTTTTACTTTGACAAGTGCCCCTATTACTTAGTAAAAGGGCCCCTTCCCCCTTTTCACCTCTGACGAGTGCCTTTTTTTATTTTTGACACGTGCCCTTTTTCATTCGACATGTTCCCATTTTCCTTTGCACTAAGTGTCCATTTTCCATTCTCATCAATCTTGAAATTATCTTGAATAAGTGCCCTTTTTAATCTCTAGTAAGTGCCTCTTTTCAGGTACGAGAAGTGCCCCTTTTCACTTTTAATAAGTGCCCCCTTCACCTCTGATTATTGCCTTATTCAAAACTGAGAGGTGCTCCTTTTACTTTGACAACTTCCCCTTTTTTCCTTTGTAAGAAGTGCCCCTTCTTCTTTTAATAACTACCCCTTTTTTTAAACTCGGATGAGCACACCTTTCATTTTAACATGTGCCCCTCTTATTTTCGAATAGGTGCCCCTTTTCCTTATGATAAGTGCCCCCATTAAAAAGAGAGAGCTCCTTACCCTTCTCACAACTACCCCTTTCCCTTTCTAATAAGTGTCCCTTTTCCTTATGACAAGTGCCCCCATTAAAAAGAAAGAGCTCCTTCCCCTTCTCATAACTGCCCCTTTTAAAAATCTGAACAGTGCCCCCTTTTCATTCACCAAATGCACATTTTTCTTTATTATAAGTGCCCCTTTTACATTTTCATAAGTGCCCCTTTTCATATCTGGTTAGTGCCCCTTTCAACTCTGATAATTCCCCTTTTAATATGATACGTGCCCCTTTTCCTTTCTAATAAGGGACCTATCCCCTTTTCACCTCTTATAAATGCCCCTATCAAAATCTGATGGGTGTCCCTTTTCCGTCAACAAATGCCTATTTCCCATTTTCGTAAACGCCTCTTTTTCATCACTGGTGAGTGCCTCTTTTCAGGTGAAAAAACTGACTCATTTTCACCCTTATAATTATCCTTTGTACTTTGACACGTGCTCCTTTTCTTTTCTAATAAGTGTCTTATCCCTTTCGATAATTGTCCCCTTTTCATGTAATCATTAAACATGCCCCTTATTTAAAGCGACTAAGAGCAATTTCCCCCAAAGTTCACTCGCTGCGCTCGCTCGCATTTAAAGATGATATAATTATGTTACTTATCAAAGGTCTTTTCAGTCTTCCGTTATGAGAATGTGCTTATAACCCCATCACGATTGGCTTTTTTCCTCTCTATAAGATGTAATTTTTCACACTGCGACCTCACAGATCTTTAAAATTTTCTCGCTCGCTTCGCTCGCTCGTAAATGCATATTCAGACATCACATCCAACTGTAAAGTATGATGCTTAAGCGATATCTTGTATGATGTATGAAGAGAAACAAATATTGAAATCATCCCTGATAATGTAATCACAATGTAGGGGTATATACCAATGTCTAAAAAATTGTATATTTTCGCTTTGAGATTTCCCACTCTAGGTGCCCTTTTTTCTTTGGAAGTCGCTCGGCCGCCCCTGGAACAAATGTTTGCGAAAGTGTTTGCAAAAGGCAGTTGGCGACTATAAGTGACTGTAAGCAAGTGTTAGCGACAGTTTGCGAAGATTAGCAACTAGTATCTGCCGATCCTGTGCCACTATTTGTGAATGTAGTGGGACCTTTTGCTAACTTTTGCTAATATATAGACCCAACCCTACAAAAAGGGTGGGCAATCTTCTCTAGCATTCAGACTTATAAATGACCATAATATGGTCAGATCACGTGGTCGGCTAGCATTGGCGAATCAAAAAGAACTTCAGCGGCACTATCTTGAAACCGATTGCAAAGGCTTACGACTGTTTTGAAAACGCTTTCAACTGCTCCCAGAAAAAAAAAATCTTTGCGACAAGAAAAACTGTTTGCGAACTTTCTTGCAACCTTTAACAATGCTTTAGCAACCTTTTTAAGAATTCACTCTGGCGAAGAGAATTCACAAAAGGAAAAGGAAATAGTCTCCATGGATTCGGAACAGTAAACAGTTAAGACGTACAAGCGTGTAATTTTGTTTCTTTCTTTCTTTTCAGTGATCATGACTGTCTTGTCATGGTCTGTCTTCTCCCTCCAAGCTACGCGGCCTCGGCCATGCAGAAATCACTCAAGAATTTCGGCAGGTTGTTAATCTTGTTCTTCTTCGGTGCAGTCTGCTTCCTTCATGCAATCTTGAAGATTCTTGCAGATCTCGGTGTAGTGTGTGTCAAACGGGCAGGGTGCATGTGACAATAATTAACAATCATCCGAAATGTGAGTATTTATGCCTGCGATATGTAATATCTAAATAAAATAGAAATAAATTCAGACGAGTTTCTTCTCTTAAAGGTACTATGTCCCTTTTGCAGGCCAAAAAATGAAAAGGTTAAATTCCAATGGCATTTGAAATTAATACTAATTTAGAACTCCCCTTAAAAAAATGGGGCTTGAAAATGTCTTTAAGTGGGAAAATAACGACTATTAGTTGTCAGATCGACTTGGGAGCTGTAGAGCCAATAAGTAATAGTCTTGATTTTCAGACCATTGTACCACATGGTCGTACGTTTTATGCTGCGCAAAGATTCAATCGGTTTAATTTTGGCCATTACAAGAAGTGGGTTATTGATGTAGGCAAATCCTTTACAGCTCATTTTATGTATGTTATTACCAAAGAAGAAAAAAAGCCAGTCAGTCACTCAATAGTGTCTGACAGTGAAGTCTAGCAAGTAAACGGGTTTCCTTGCATAATTTGAATATTAGGACACTGCTAACGTTTAAATTTCACAGATAGGAAATACATGACATATTTATAATTCCTGCAAAGTTCTACAGAATTTGAGGTTGGTTGCAAAAGGGACATAGTATCTTTAAGATTAATCTTGATAAAACAAATGCAATGTTGATAGGTTCAGCAAGACACAGTATCCTACCACTTGAAAATATAAAGGTATAGAAGTTCCATCACTGACGGTTCTCGGTGCTGACGTATCGTATTCACCTGATGTGCTATACTCTCAATTGAAATAAAATTTATTGAAAATAAAGAGCCAGTAGGCCATTTTCGTAATGTAACCAAATTTAATGCATAAGTGTTTGTGAAGTGCCTCAATACAAATTATTTCATTCACCTGATAAGAATAATAGTATTTCTATAGTCAGAATGCAACTACATATATTAAGTGTTGCTAGGTAAGTCAAGCCATAATATTTGTCCAACCTGGCAACAATTAATGTATGCAGTTCGGATTCTGTCTATTGAAATACTATTATTCTTATCAGGTGAATAAAATAATTTGTATTGAGGCATTTTAAAAAGACTTATGCATTAAATTTGGTTACATTACGAAAATGGCCTATTGAATTTATGGAAGGTTCGAAATTTGTCACTGATTGGTAAAATTCAAATTGTGAAAACACCTGCCTTTTCCCAGTTACTGTTTATTGCAAGCACCGTTAAAATCCCAGATCTGTTCATAAGAGAAATTAAAAAGTTAGCATATAAATTGATTTGGAATGACGGTCCGGACAGACTTAGACTTGAAGTCATGCTAAAGAAGTATGAGGAGGGTGGTTTCAAATGGTGTGCTTAAAATCTTTGCTACAAGTTCAGAAAATAAAGTGGGTAAATGCAATATTTACATCACAATCTTGAGGGTGGAAATTGATATTACTTGATTACTCTAGCATGCATCACCTGCCATACAAGTTAGCGACATGCGGAATACCGCCCTGCTGACTCCAATTTCAGAAGGTTCAGAAGGATTCATTGAAGGATGTTGGTGGACCTTTTTTTTCTTCACTGTAACTATTGTTAAATATTTGCGGGTACAAGGAAATCATACAGGTGTGGAATAATTTTATCCATAAATATGTATCAATTGAAAATCAAATAATTTGGAACAATAAGTCTATACTACTTGATGGTAAAACTATTTTCAAGTCAAGTATTTTTGACAAAGGTATTGCGAAAATCGCGCACATGTTAGATGAATACGGGCGACCTATGATTTGGAAAGATGCAAAAGGAAGAGATCTTTCGTTTGTAGAATATTTTCTTTTGTTAGACCGTTACAAGAAACTCCCTTCTACATGGAAACATTTTCTCTTCAACAAAACTTCCACGCTGTCATGTAACTATAGATGGAATTGTTGGACAGGCGCGGATCCCCCCCCCCCCCCCCCAGCCTCCCAAACCGGTAAAAAATAGGATAGTAACGTAAATTTTACCTTAACAAAAAAAAAAAACGGCCCCTGACCCCTCCCCCCAAACAAAAAACATTTTGCCCCCCCCCCCCGCTCATTCACCGTTCGCCGGCTGGCTGATTCGCCGCTAAATATTTTCTCAAGATTTCGGCCCCCCCCCCCCCCCCAACCTCTTGCAGCCGGCTGGATCTGCCCCTGGTCACAGATGGGTCGTTACTAGGGACTTTTAGATTCGCACGAAAACAATAGGTCTATGCTACGATCGACGTCCCGTTAATGCACTGCCGTGAATGGACGTCACACGTATCAGTCCACGCAAATCTAAAAGTCCCTAATATGGACAGATTGGATAGATGTGTAAATAATTGAAATTATAACCAGTATACGATGCGAAAATTATTCTTCTCCAACTTTGGGATACCAACCTGGTATTTGGTAGTCCAGGACGCAATAACGCAACTTTCAGCGACATATATTGCTCTACAAAACAAATCTGCCATAATTATGTGAGAGGAAGAGATGATACGGTACTCGCTTGTACTCGGGCCTGTGTATGCAATATATACGCTTAAAACACTGATCTTTATGATGTCTTTAACGTGACATGGCTTCTTTGAAGGGATAAGCCAACAAATAATGATTGTGATTCAACTTGATGCAAATATTTGGTTGAATAAGCATTGCTATTCACCAGAACCTTCTTTGTAAAAACAACTTTTACAAATCTCAGTCATGCTTACTGAGTTGAGACGTTCCATTCAATTTAAATACCCATTAAACAATACACTTCTCCTAATCTGGAAGTGATCTTACAGCACAGTGGCAGAATTGCATGGCTGAGATTTGTAAAAAGTCGTTTTTACAAAAAAAGATTCTGGTGAAAAGCATTGCTTATTCAAAAAAATGTTTGCATCTATTTGAATCACAATGATTATTTGTCGCATGATCCTTTTATTAAAGGTACTATGTCCCATTTGCAGGCCCAAAAAATGAAAAGGTTAAATTCCGACGGCATTTGAAAGACAATACTAATTTAGAACTTCCCTAAAAAAGGTGGGGCTTGAAAATGTCTTCAAGTGGGAAAATAACGACTATTAAATGTCAAATCGACTTAGGAGCTATAGAGCCAATAAGTAATAGTCTTGATTTACAGACCATTGCACCGAATGGTCATACGTTTTATGCAGTGCAAAGATTCAATCAGTTTAATCTTGGCCATCACAAGAAGTGTGTTATTGATGTAGACATGCTCATGTACCCTTTACAGCTCATTTGATGTATGTTAAATACCAAAGAAGAAAAGAAGCCAGTCAGTCACTCAATAGTATCTGACAGTGAAGTCTAGCAAGTAAACAGGATTCCTTACATAATTTGAATATAAGGACACTGCTAACGTTTAAATTTCACAGTTCTACAGAATTTGAGGTTGGCTGCAAAAGGGACATAGTACCTTTAAATAACCTTGTTTTCTTTTTTGTTTGCAAGGGGAGAAGAAGCTATGTCACGTTAAGAAATCATTTGATCAGTTGTATTATTCGTATATACATATGAATACAGAACAAAATGTTGATTATCAGGATGTCATTTTGGAATACCTTTATAAAAATACCCGATCTTACTGTGCCAATATACCACATTGTCTTTAGCCCGTATCAGTATTAGTATGAGCCAATATAAAGTTATTATTCTTTATTCAGTTCAGTATAATGCTTTTCCTCAAATATAGTTTCGCTATTTTTTTAGGGTTGAGACGCTAAGAAATAGTTTCAAATGTACATCACACAAACCCTGAATCATTCCATAATGATGGTGGTTCTCTCTCTCTCTCTCCCCCCTCTCTCTCTCTCTCTCTCTCTCTCTCTATTTATTGTAATAATGCATTATCAACGATATAGACAGCAGCACCAAAAAACTTGGGTTTTCTGGGATAGGTGAAAGTGAGAGTTAAAAAGAAAGTCATGTAAAAATGGTGCTTCACCTCCCCCCCCCCCCCATGAAAAAAAACAAAAAAAACAGTGGTCCTCCTAAGTGTGCGAACCAGTAATAATATATTTCATATCACCAAAATCGTCTGCTTTTCAACTTTGCTGCTTCCCATTGGGGATGTTTTTTTTTATTAAAGACACACTCTTACAGAGCACCACCCCCCCCCCCCCATCCAAACAAAATCCAAGAGAGGGAAACTGCTCCTTTGTCAATGACCGAAAATGCATAGCAGTCGTTAGGACAGCTGAATGTTCTCATTAAGATGCACATAATCAGAAGGCAGTGACTATCATTGGATGATTTGGATGAAAAAAAGAATCACGTTGAATGTCCATCCCTAATAGGTCCATGCTCACACACACACAAAAATGATTTCACATTTTATTCTCCCTTTAGAGCAACGAAGGTATAGGAAACCTCTTAAAGACCGGCTCGTAGACCAATTACGGCCTGCGAGATAATCTCGCATAGACGATTGAAAAATATAAAGAAATAGATATTTTTGAATATGTAATTTTTTGTTTGATTTAATATGTAATTGTTAATAATTGTATCTGGTTTGTTATTGCACTTGGAGACTTCGGTGGTAAGCGTTTTATAAGCACCGTTATTATTATTATTATAATTATTACTATTATGTCTGTTCTTTAGAATATCAAGATGGATCATGTTAATGGCGAGAGTGGTTTTCATCATTATGACGTAGGCATCCCTGATGACGTATCACCAAACAACCAGCCTCAAATCAAGCCTAACCTACCTTTTGAACGAGCAGCTGGTCTTGTTCGCAGACTCTACGATTTCCAGGATGTCGTTTGTTTAAAGGTAAAACTGAGTAGCATGTATTTTTTCCCTCAACATTAGACTGCATTCCTGCTTGGAACCCGTTTCTTTGGTATAGAAGTGGTGAGTGGTGTTTCGTTTGCCCCCCTTACAATATCAGGGGCATGCTCCCGTCGCTACGCCACTGACAAATTAAAGTAGTTAACATAATTACATGGGCTTCCTTTTCAATTTTCTGTTCCTTATTTTTCAAGGAGTTTATCAGCTACTACAACCAAAACATTTTGATTGAGGCTCGACGACCGGACTGCGCACCCGGGAGCCCCCCGAAAAAGTTTGTGATGAAGCTGACCAATTCTGAAGAATCCCAGCTTTTTGTGTTGCACCAACAACAGAATGAAATCCTGCTGATGTTGAGGGACTGTGGCATCCCATGCTGCTCACCACTCAAGAATGTGGCAGGCAAGGATCTGAGCTCGGAGAAACTCTCTTTCAAACACAGAGGTAACAAAATGTATAAACAATATAGTGTCAGCCTTTTGGGTAGGACAAAAATAATCTCTAAATAACGTTGATAATTTAACATACATGACTATAGTGGACCAGCCAAGACGTGATTTTTATATAATTATTGTTATTATTATTATTATTATTTTATATATAATTTTACTTAGGACGGCATTTTGGGGATGATGCCTTGCATCCATGCTCAAACTCTTTTGGAAAATACTAAAAATTAACATACATGTTGGTGTTTTGGCTCAAAATTTGAGAAAATCTAAACAAAATAATGATTTTTTGTTTTAAATAATTTTTTTGACGGAATATGTTTTTATCTGAGAAAGACTTTTTAATTGATGAAGTAGGTGATGGATGTGACTGCCAGGCTTTTACCATGGTAACAAATCAAGCAATATATGAATTGTAGAAAATACTTATTGCTTTCCAACAAAATGAACAAAAAGGTAATCATCTAGCCGACCCCGGGAGCTGACCGTTCGATTATAATAAAAAGAAATGGGTCCGGACTGCTCTATTATAATCCCTGTACCTGCTTTAAGCCACCGAAAATGGCGTGATCAACGAAGTCGTACGGAACCCGCGACCAGCCTTTCGCCGAGCTTAAAAAGATTCGAGGATCACGCGTCGATCATCTTCGGCTTGCAGCAAGTTTCGAGCGGGGGAAGATCGTGGTGGTGTAGATTATAAAGAATTCCAAATCGGTCAGTTTCTAGACTTACTTGATCTTACACTCACCGGGTATGGTGGCTCAGTGATTAGAGCGCCCGCCTCATGAACGGGAAGTCGTGGGTTCGAACCCCGGCCGAGTCATACCAAAGACTTATAACAATGGGACCGTCTAGCTAGGCGTTCAGCATATTAGATTGGAGAAGGGTATAGTAATAACATATTATGTTATGCAGGGCCCGCTGGAAGAGCAGTTTCATAACTTAAGTGGCTACCCTGGGTAAATAAAACGTTATTATTATTATTATTATTATTATTATTATTATTATTATTATTATTATTATTATTATTATTATTATTATTATTATAATTATTATTTTAGTAACTATGCATAACATCCAATCCTCATCTAGATACGGGAGATACAATGACAGGGCAGTTCATAACCCGCATCATGAAGTATATCCCAGGGCAGTCCTTAGGGAACGCACCTCACGTTACCTCTAAGATGTGCTATAAAAGCGGGCAACTATTAGGTCAACTGTCTTCCGCCTTGCAGGTGAGTTCTACATAATTATGTTGTATGCCAATAAGGTGTTCAATCTATATTGATTGATCCTCTCCACCCAGGAATTAAATGGATATCCTAGCTGTAAGTTGCGAACACACACCCACGTCCGCCCGTAAGCGTAAAAGGCGCCGCCAGACTGGAATGGTCCCCAGTTGTATAGTAGAAGTTCAGACTCGTACTACAAAACTAACCCCAAATCTGTCCCTATGAAGATTACGCGTCCCCTAGACAGCTATTCTATTGTACCAATTTACACTCAGAACTCTACAATTCTACTTAAAATCACTGGATCTGCAAGATAAGCATACTAGTAAGCGAAGGCTTACCAACACGTGTAATTTTCCACTGATTGAGAACAAAAAATGAATTTCAAGTTATATCACCAATCAGATGAAACTCTTCAGTAATTATACAATCTATATATAGGACAACCCCTCTCTCCAATAACTCTGGACAAACTATCTTGGACATTATCCCCTCGAACAACACTGTTGTCAGCAAATATCATCAACATACCCTCTTGATCAATGAGCTTTAGACTAGGGTAATTTTTTCACTGGAAGCACTTGACGAGTTAGTTGTTCTCGGGAGGAAATTGTCATCTATCTATCAGATATTTTCATTTTATAGTTTTTTTTTACCCGTTTTTGTTGTTGTTCGGGACAAAATAACGTCGCTGGAGAATCTTGTTTAAGCGATCTTTCTTTCTTTCCAGAATAATACTATCGACAAGAACGAGTCCATTAAAAGGGCAAAGGAGTTAATCTGGTGCCTCAGCAACGTCCCAAGATTACGGGAGTACGTCTTCGTTCTACAGAACAGTGCTCAAAAGAAAGTAATCAAAGAAATAATTGACGCCTTCGAGGAAAAGGTCCTAAAAACAGAGCACAAATTGAGGAAAGGTAAGGACGATATTGTTAAAGTCATCTTCTAAGACAGCTGCTAATTTAGTATCGTTCAATGAAACTATATAGGCCTGTAGAACACGACGGCAACTTTTTTTTCTCTCCAAAGAATCAATCTAAGACAATCCCCCCTCCCAATTCGAATAAACATGTACATACAGTACATCACCTTTTGAAATATGCGAATTTTAGACGTTATTCTCAAATTTAATTCTATATTAGTACAGTTTTGTTGATGGTTTGTTTTACCTGACTGCTAAGAAATAATGTGTTTGTAACTAACGAGCTGATTTTTTGAAAGGATTTGTAATTAGGTTAACAAGATGAGTTTGCATAATATTCAATTCTATGCATGTAACCCATCATCTGTATTTCTTTCAAAACAATACAGTGATCTTTAGTTATGTAGTCTACAATGTTTTATCATGTTTCAAACGTTCGTGTATGAGATGGTTGATGATAGAACATCATTTACCCTGCCTATTATGCAGGAATGATCCATAGTGATTTCAGCGACTACAACGTCCTAGTGCGGGAGACGTCGGAGGAACTCGATGATGACAATGACAACGTCAGAGGCGACGTCGTCGGGATAATCGACTTCGATCACATGATGTACTCGTGCATCGTCTACGACATCGCCATCGCAATCATGTACCTGATGCAGTGTACCAACCTCGAGCTGGACCCTGTGGAATGCGGAGGAATACTGCTAGCGGGGTTCCTTTCGAAGCGAGCTCTCTCGGAAGACGAATGGCGCGTTCTGTACTACTGCGTGGCCGGACGCTTCGCTCAGTCCCTTGTTATCGGGCTACACACCCACTCGCTGCAGCTGCAGAACGACTACATTCTCAGTAGTCAACGAGTAGGCTGGCAGGTGATCTTCGACTTCTGGGAACGAGATGTCCATGATGTTTATGCTCGGTGGAGAGAACTCATTCAACATTACAATCAGGTCCCTAAAGATCAACCTTTTGACACATCGGTCCAATAGAAAAAGGCGAAAAAATAGGGCAATGTGACACTACATTCTTCAGTGGCGTAAAACAAAGTAAATAATTGTTGGTTTAAACATAGTTTAGTATACTGTACGTATTGCACACGTAGGCGTATGTGAATGTTTCTTTCTGAAAGTATTTTATTTCATTTCATTTATTATGTCCGAGAATAATTGTTCATATTTACATTTTACAATCTTGCTAAGCAGTAATTTCACAAGTACAACATAATAATTGACAACCATAAATAGTTAAGTAAATACATGTGAATTGTATTTTTGTCTCACAATTAACACATACGTCATGTTTGTTTTAATTTTGTTCAACCTCGTTTCTGATTTAGTCTCAAGGCCCTGTTTTAATACTTTTCTCCTTCTTTTTTCTAACTATATAAACCAGTGGTTTAAACGAATGCATGTTCCAAAAACTTATATTTTTTTTCATAGACGTGGCAAAGGGTTTTATGGTTACGTTTGTCTTCGTTCGTGTTTTGTGTTTCGTTTCGTTTCTTTTTTGATAAAATTGTGAAGCAATGCAATTTTAAAGTCTAAAGAGTACTTTACCCCCCCCCCCCCCTCTTCTCACAGTCTCTCTCTCTCTCTCTCTCTCTCTCTCTCTTTCGAACGGCCTCGGTTTGGTTTATTTTATTATTATACTCTTTTTGGTGAAAAACATGTATAATGTGAGTTGACTGTCTATATATTTAATGCATATACCTGCGCTTATAATTTGTGTAAAATGGTGTATTTATTGTCTTTCATGAGTGAACACTATAACAGTACTATTCAGTTTGTTTGTCCACAATTCCCGTCAATAAACCGGAAAGATAAGATTTGGATTTAACATAAAGACGCTTCTTTCATCATTCTCAGTGTGTCAAAATGAGTGGCATAATACCCGTTGTACGACTGTATGACTGCGTCAGTGTTTGGCGTATGACTGCGTCAGTGTCTGGCACAGATCTCTCTCAGGTTGCGCCATGGGAGAGTGAAAACACACTTAATTGTAAATGTATAATTTATATAAAAAAGGACGAACAAATGCTTTGAATTATGGGCGCCGTATGTGCTAATTGTTAATTCAGTGCCAATGCCAACAGTATACTTATTTTGCAATCGTGCCATTTACAGAGGCACAGTGATAAGTTCAGGCCCGTTACACCTGATGCGTCAGTACGCTGACGTTGGTCTGCGCCAAGTACGACTGACGCGGTCTTTGACTTTGACTTTGACTTTGACTCAATGGGGCATGCACCTATACAGGCTCTTTTAGCGTACGGTGATAACACAATCAAAATGACGCCTCCTTTACAATGGGCTTTAAACATTTCAACTTGTCACAGTGCCTCCGCGAATCCAGACGATACGAATGATGCGAGTCTTAAAGGAAAATTCCGCAGAACACATAACACAACAAACAAACAACTACAAAACATCATGGACTCTCAGAAAGATGGCGATCGAGTCGTGTTTGTATTGCTGATTGTACTGATATTGATAATGAGGACTGGTTGTGATGATAGTTGGAGCTTCCTAGCAACAAAGACCAACATAAAATTGTTATATTATTCACTATTTTATTATTGATCATTTATATCCAGCGTCACCTAGCCGTGCCAACAATCTAAAAAGTGAACTACCGTATAAAGCATCATGTCTTCGGGTTAGATGTAAGTGATCATGTTGATAGGATTTTTTTTAGTAATATCAACCTCAACAAAGTCGATCAATCTATAACATTAATGTCAGTAGTACAAGACAGCTATATGAGAGGAATGAGACACTCGTAGCCATATTATGAAGGAGACATCAACTGCTACGGCTTTTATTTTTAATTATTGTCATTATTATTGTTATTATATTCATGATCATCTGTAGCCCCTGTCTTTGTTATGCTCCACATTCTCGATCCTTCATCTAATTTCCACATCCATAAGGATCGCAGATCTTTTCTCCTCCAAGAGTGATGCAAAAGCAATCTTCAAACCGTTTAGCTGAAGAAAAACACAAAAGAGAAGCGAAGGTTAACTATACATGAGACTATAAAAACAGATTACGGGTTTAATTTTCGCAGCAGATTCAAGATGTCAATGTTAAACTTTAAAGTCTTTAAGTATACCGTACATACAAATGTAGTACAGGCAGTGGATGTGTGTATTACACTGTTGCCCATAAATTTGGAATAATTTTGTTTTACCTCTTTTCATGAAAAGTTTGTAACAATATGATGTATTCTTGAAAGATAAAATGTATATCCTCTCAGAATATTATTAAATCAATCTGAAGAGTCAGAGAGACTGATCAATATGTAAACTTATAAATAATTGAGTATATTGTCATGATCAGTTCGTGAAAAGAGTAACTTAAGAAAACGTTATTCCAAATGTATGGGCAATAGCCTAGTGCATCATTAAAATTGATTAGAGGAACACGGTCTAACGAAATGCATTGAGAAAATAGTAGAAAAATCAATTCACATGGGATACACACAAATCATGGTTTAAATTTCACAAGCGCTTTCGATTTATTCTCATTTGGACTTAGGTGAAGTGACACCGCGCTTACAACTTCACGAGAATAAATCCTAAACGTTTGTGAAGAACAATCCATGCTTTTATATGTCCTACTCAGAGTACTCTCACAACTATTTTTCCGGTGGAGATGTGTAATGAAGTTTATTCATGGCAATTCGATTTTTTCAGATCTGAAACTTAATTCTTCAGTCAAAGCAATAAAAGGTTTCTCCGATTCATCAAATCTCTCTTAACTCACAAACAAAAAACTAATTCTCTAAATGTCTGTTTCCATTCGGACCAATAGTAAAGGTGACGTAGTATAGTGGTTCATTAAATTGAATCTCAATCTAAGGTTCGAGGGTTCGAATCACAACCTAGTCCAGAATCTGGCCCTTTTAATTTTGTTAATAATCTCCGCCACCGCGTTTATAATTCCGAAGCTTCATTTACGAAATCCTACTCTCTAAAAAAAATCGAGTGATCACGGACGTCACTCCTCTGGAGAGTGAAAATGTAGTGAAAATAGAGTGAACATTCACTCTTTTCTTCTTAGAGAGCACTCTAAAATTTTCACTCCTAAACAAGTGATCACGGACGTCACTCCCAAGAAAGTGAAAATAGAGTGAAAATTCACTCTTCTTTTTTAAGAGAGTATATAACCTCATATCATTTTTTTCGGAATTACAAAGCTTCGGAATAATATGAACCCTCCTTCAGTATTAAAATCATGAACATTCGCATACACGATACTTTCGGAGTAATGCAACAAACGTTCGAAAGTTTATCTCATTTTCGGAATGATCAACATGGCGGAATTACAAAAATTCAGGCAAACGAACCTTCACAAAACAGGGTCCCATATGTATATTATTAGAGAGAATAATGCATACAAAGCAAATTAAGCTGCTGTCTAAAGTACCTTCTTTAAAGATGTTTCTAGTTTGCCCAGAAACTTCCATTCCACCGAAGAGCGCATCTTCGCCTCGAGGAGGAGCGGCGACGACGAAGCCGACTACAAGCAGGAACATCATGAACATTCGCAGAGCCATTCTAAAGTAGAACACAAGAGGCAATGGAGATATGATTTTGGTCTGATTTATCATATCACATTTAGTATAATTATGTTGCCTTTTTTAAAGTCTAATACATACCGAAATATGCTAATAGTTACTTTTCATCGGATTTTAAAAACTAATTAACGTCTATACTATTATCAAGATATTATAAATATGCAACAACGTGTTTTTAACGCAAAAGCAAAGCAAAGCAAAACAAACCATTCATTCATTCATTCGTTACGAGTATACCAAATACTTTGTATATTATGTTTATACATGTTCTCAATATTTCTTTGTTGCTGTCATGATATCGTTATCATTATTTTATTTTTTAAAACTATGTTTTTCCCTATTGTGTTTAACAGGGCCTCATGGAAAACCACCATTATTGGTGATAATGAGTCACCCTGTCTAAATATCAGAAATAAATAAATAAATAAATAAATCATCAGAATACTTGGGGGATGGGCGGGGGGGGGGGTCAGAACCGTAAATTCAGAAATGCTTGTATAATGGATGATCTTATGATGACAATGGGACTAGTAATGGAGTCACACCTCTCTAAAAAGTCCAACTGACCTTTTCTGTTCCCCTTCAGTGACCTTTATAGACAGGCTTGACTGTAGTAGTATTTAGTAGTAATATTAGTAAAGTTTTAGGAGAAGAACTAGAGGTAGGTGTAGTGGAACCAGCAGTATTCGTAATACTAGTCATAAGGAATGATCGTCATAATGATAAAATTAATAATAGTCGTAACGATAATACTGATGAAAATATCAATAATGATAATGTTTTTTAAAATAATGATTATAAATATAACAACACAACCAAAACAATTATAATAATAATGATAATAATTAATAGTCGTAATAATCAGCATCATCATCATCATCGTCATCAGCATTATCTTCTTTATCGTAATCATATCAATATCAAATAAAACAATTTATAACTCCTACATACCATTCCAACTTGAGTATACACATTTCATGGAGGCCGAAAGTACGAAAATCTTACCTTGAATATTGTACTGTTTCCCAGCCGAAAATTTACTTCAGGTGGTCAGTTCGTGGACGTGCTGGTTTTATTCGAATGGTCAGTTTGCCCCAAAGTACTCAAATTTATAGATATTTCGTCTATAATGATTTAATTATGACCGTGTCCGCTTCACTGCAATGGCCTCATTGGGCAGTGTTGGGCATTCAACTAAATCGTAATTGGATGTGACGGAACAAGACCAGTGAGTTGGGTCAAATTTTTGTATAAAAAAAAGGGCGGAGGCGCAATTCAAAAAATCATCTCTTGACAATCGAAAATCAAACATCATACAATTATTATCTGACTGAAGAATGCCAGATTCGATTTTAAAGAGGAAATGAGCTGTTTGAAGTCATCAAGTGAAGGGAGGTTGGAGGCCCTATATTTCACTTTGTATGCTACCTTTACCCCCCCCCCCCCTCCTTAGTTCTCTCTCTCTCTCTCTCTCTCTCTGTCTCTCTTTCTCACTCTGTCCCATGCCCCAACGCCCGCAGCTGCCATAGTGGTCATAATTATGAACATAATTAAAAAGTAAAGACAAAACTAAACTAAGAATATCGCCGAGTTGGCAGACCAATACAAAATAGATGGTGAGTACTTTCCCAGATGTTTAAGGGTCAAGAAAGTCAAAAAAATATAAACTTAATTAAAAGTTTATTTGTGGTACAATTTGGAGAATATCTTTATATTGACCAATACAGGATAAAAGTCAAGGTAAATTGCCATGTTTTTAGTTCATTAGCCATTTTGTCCAATTTCCTTTCATCCAATAATTATTTCATCCAAATGCCAATTATAACCTATGATCAGTTCGTTCGAAATCACCAGACCATTGAGGCTACCACTATCTTTGCCTATTTTAGGCCTATCCAGTTTTTCCACACAATTTTTGTATACATTATGGCCCGAATTCACAAAGCAAGGTTTGAGCTCAGAACAAGGTTTGAGCTCAAACCTCCTTTTGTTTCGCCAAACCTCCTTTTGTTCTTTACAAACCAGGTTTGTAAAAAACGCGTAAAACGCGTCATATGACGTACGAAAACCAAGGTTTGTCGACAAACCTCCTTTGTGAATTCGGGCCTTTGGGTTTGGACGAATTGGCATTATAGACCACAAGCCATAAACCTGATTGAAGGTTGATTGCATTCCTTTCTTTGTTCGTTCTTTAGCCCTTCGGAGCGTCGGTCAGTATAATAGCATCCTGGCATGACGATGTGCGGCGCTGATCCATGCCACTGATTAATAATGATCCAGAGTTTGTGTTTATAAAAAGATTTGAAAGCATAGTTTTTTCAATTCGTTCGTTTTTTTATAGCCACGGTTTTTTTTGGGCACGTACACTGGCGTCCCTGAGGGGGGGGGCAAGGGGGCAGAGTGCCCCCCTGACGGGCCCCAGGGGGAGGAGGAAAAGGGGGAAGGGGAAAGGAAAAAAAAGGAGAAAGAGAAAAAAGGGGAAAGAAAAGAAAAGAAAGGAAAGGAAGGAAAGAGAAAAAAGGAAAAGGGGAGAGAAAAAAAAAGAAAGATAAAAAGGAAAATGAAAAAAAAGAAAGAAGAGAAAAATAAGAAAGAGGGACAAGGAAAGGAAAGTAAAAAATGGGGAAATTATTTTTAAAAAAGACCATGGCCGTACGCACCGGGGGGGGGGGAAGTTGACCCCAGATATTTATTTTATATACCAAATCCTTCAATTCTACTTTTGAAAAATGCAAAAGTACCCTCATGACCAGTTTGGTCGCTCGAACTCCCTTCACTCCTTTTGCTTTTGAGTTTCTTCAAAAACTTTTCATGCACCTTTACCCCTCCCCCATCAGAAAAATATTCCGCATACGGCAAAAAAAAAGACAAATGAAAATAGGAAAATATAAGTGATATAACAAATTCGACACTCTTCGCTGGCGCGAGCTGCTTGCTAGCCTATTTTGTATTAATTGTTTTCACTTGCTGAAAAAAAGAAAAGGATTAGCACTGCCTAGAATACAATTGTGTCTGCCCCGACTGGCCCCGACCTGCAACCATGGCAACCATAACACCCAGTTTATGTACCAAATGTTACTAAAAGAGACTAATTCATTTTTTCTCGCTCGCTCGCGAATAAATGAAATAGACATTGCTTTGAAAGCAATTGTGCCCACCCTTGACCTGCAACAATATCATTAAAAATGGAAGTGTTTTTCGCCCTCTCGCCCAAAAGGAATTGATATCCTGCTAAACGCGATTGCGCCCATCCTGACCTGCACCAATAAAAACAAGTTTACGTATTAATTTCTATTAAAAGAGAATTGATTTTTTTTTGCATCGCTATGATCGCTTACCAAAATGGAATTGACATTCCTAACAAAATATGTGCGCTCCCTTGCCTGCAACGAAAATCCCAGTAAATAAGTACCGAACGTTATTTTGAGAGATATTGTTTCCTCGCTCGCCAGAATTGATGAATTGATTGATTTTAGTGATTGAAATATGAGTTGATTTGTTTTTTGTTTTACCCTCTCTTTGCTACGCTGTCTTTACAATTAACATCGCTAACAAACATGCTCACCCCAACCTACAACAAATTACCAGTTGATAATAATGTACCAGACGTTGATCAAAGAAAATTTGGTTTGCTCGCTAGCTACGCTCCCTCGCCAATATGGAATTAACATCACCTTAAACATGATTGTGTAAGCCCCGACCTGCAACAAAAAACCTGAAAATTATGCACCAATCATCATTAATTTTGTTTTGCCTGCCCACCAAAATGGGATTGACATTGGCTTAAACACGATTGTACCCACCTCCGACCTGCAACAATGACACAAAGTTTATGTACCAATTCCTTGCGGACAATTGAACCAAGTTAAATTGGCAATATTATTATATATTAAAAAAAAGAAGCGATTTTTTATTCTTGCTCGCTACGCTCGCTCGCCAAAATGAAATTAACATCGCTAACGTGCCCGCCCTAACCTGCAACAACATCACTAGTTAATAATTATGTACCAAACATTATTCAAAGAAGTTTTGGTGTGCTCGCTCGCCAAAACGGAATTAACATCACCTTAGACATGATTGTGAAAGCCCTGACCTGCAACAAAAAAAACCTGAAATTTATGAACCAATTATCATTACAAAAATTTTGCTCGCTCGCTACGCTCGCTCGCCAAAATAGAAATAACATCGCTTTAAATAATCATGTCCCTGACATGGATCAATGAAATCAAGTTAATGTACCATGTTCTCATCGTAGAGAAGTGATTTTTTTTCGCTCGCTAGCTTGTGGAATTATGTGCCCACCACTGACCTGCTACATTAACAAGAGAAATGTAGGGGGGGGGGGTTGCCTGCCCGCCAAAATGGGATTGAAATTGCCTTACACACGGTTGTGTCCGCCCCGACCTGCAACAATGAAACAAGTTTTAAATAGCAATTCATTAAGAGAAAGGTGTATTTTCGCTCGCTAGCTAAAATGGGTATCAAATCACCCTTGTTCCCGCACCCGGCATGGGACAATTGGACCAAGTTTAAGTGGCAAATATTAAAAAAGAAGGGATTTTTTTTCTTGCTCGCTACGCTCGCTTGCAAACATGAACTTAACGTGGCTAACAAATGAGTGTGCCCACCCCCGACTTGCAACAATACCGGTTTATATACCAAACGTTACTTAAATATATTTTTTTGCCCGCTCGCTCGCCAGAAGTGAAAATTAGCAACGCCTTTATTGTTTTGTTTCGATCGCTTGCCCCCCCCCCCCCCCCCCCCCCTGACGGAGTACCCCAGGTACGCCACTGGGCACGTACTGCATGGATTCATAAACTAGTCACATGACTATATTGAATGAAATGCGAGATAAATATTGAGACCATATCGAGTGGGCGGGGCCGGGTCAGATGGAAAAAAAAATACATCTACGAAATTGGAGTTCATTACGTCTTTTGTTCTATGCAAACAGACGGTGATTTCGAAGTCGTGAAACAGAAAAATTTGTTACAACTTCTGATCGAAGTAGGTCTAGATCTAGATGTAATATACAGATTTATCCGGGGACTTAGCTCGGAGCTGAGCAGTTTAAGAAGAAGAACAAAAATGGGAGTTCACCTTTCATTTTGTTCTCTCTCTTATTAAAGATATATTTATATCGCCACTTATTTTCCGCGGCACTGTTTTATAAATCAGAGATTTAAAAAAGATCGTTCGTGAAAACATCAACAGCTGTTCGTTCCAGTTCGTATGCCACGCCCACAAAATACATTATCACGTGACAAATCATGTGAGCAGCGAATTAACTTTCAGCTCGATCGTTGTTTGATAATAAAAACTGAGAAAGCTGAAAAGCAAAATGGGAAGATTACGTTCTTATGTCTCAAAGTTACTAATTTGCATGGCGGTATTGGCTGTGAAACAGGTAAGCTCTTTGTGCATTTTTTAATATACATGAACAAGATATTTTGTGTCGAAGCAGAAGATAGCGATGTCGAGCAAAATGCCCCAAAGAAACTGAAGCCGCTTCTCCCATGTCTTTGTCCATGTCGACGGCAAGCCTCACCGCCCGGCCCCCGTTACGGCGGCGAAGGCAGCGTGACGTGTGCGATAGGTACACTTACCGGCTTTCCGAGGCGGAGTGATTGTGATCGCTTCATGTTCTGTCACTGTCACTCTTACAAATGTAGTAGATCTATATCTTAGAGGTGCTAAATTAAAGTAGGGACATCATTCACACAATATAACAAACAAATAAATAGATTTGAACATGTGATGACAAGAAGATAAACTGATCAAGATTGTTTTTACTTTTTGATAAACAGTAGGGGCGCTGGTCCGAGAATAAGGATCGTCTTCATAAACTAAGATAGTCTTTGTAAACGCTGACCAATGCGTCCTCTAAAACAAGGATTGTCTGCAAAAAGGCAGATGTTCCATATTTTTGATCGGCACATTGGCGATGCAAAAAACGGATTCCGGGATGATTTTCTTGATGCATTTTACACTGACTTTGTACAGAGACCTTCACATGCATGTAAATTAGCAATAAATCTTGGGAAGACGGACAACCCATAAAAGTAGATGGTCAACTAGGGTTATTTTCCCCTGGGGAATCCAAATTTGGCATTGCCAGCGGGCGGTTCGGTAACCCGAAACCCGCAGAGCGCCGATGAAAAAAAACGTCCGCGAAAATGCAGAAGATCCTTGTTTATGAGGACGTATTTTGTCCGCGTTTATGAGGATATCCTCGTTTATGAGGACGATCCTCATTCTCGGACCAGTGCCCCTACTGATAAACACAGTTTTATTTTCCCCTTCATTTCCTTTCCCTCGTTTCTTTTCCTCTCCTTTTTTCTTATTCCTTTTTAAATGAAAGAATTCCATATTAGCTGATGGTCAGGTCAGTAATATCCTCATCTTTTTGTGTTTAAAATAGACTGCAAAAGTCGGTCTACACTGTATGTATTTTGTCTGGGAATATATATCCTCTGCTGAGCTGAGATTACATTACATACTCTGGACACCAAAAACCCTCTTGAGTTGCAAAAGTCAGAATAATTTATATCATTTCTGATTTGAGTGTCTTCTTTGATATCTGTCACTTATAATATTGATTTGCTCTGCAAAGTGGTTAAAAATTCAGAGAATGATAAAAAAACAGAGCAACAGAATGTCACATTTTACTTTATCTCAAAATTAAGATTAGACATAATCTTTCTTATGTCACATTATTTACACACAGGCGCTCCCAGATCGCTCCTTCACCATCGACTACGACAGCAACACTTTCCTGAAGGATGGCCAGCCGTTTCGCTACGTCTCGGGGAGCTTTCACTACAGCAGGGTTCCAGCATTCTACTGGCAGGACAGACTGGACAAGATGAAGATGGCTGGATTGAATGCGGTCCAGACGTAAGGACAAAGCCTTGATAATCAAAGAATCTTTATTTACTTATTCATGTTTTCACCTGGTAGATGGTCCAGTCTTTTCTTTAAACATTTTAGTTGTTTGTTTATCCATTTGTATAATGGAAGGTAAAGAAATTATATGATAGAGACAAGTCCGACTTGGGTTCCATGCGGGCTCCATGCGGGCTCCATGCGGGCTCCAAAATGGGCTCCATCATAATATGCAAGGAGGTACGGATGCATCATGTAATCTACTCACAAGTCCCGTTTATAATTGAAAGTGTATTTAAACTTGCAATATTTCTGTATGGAAGTAACATTTGAACTCATATTTTAAATATATATAAGTGGTATGAAATCTCTAACTTACTACTACATGTAGTACAAAGCAAAATGTTTGTTTTTTCATTGGAACACTTTGAGCATTTTGTGAATGCATACTATTTCTGGTTTCTGATGTGGGTTTTTTTCTTTCTCTTTCTCTGTTTTTCTCTCTTTTCACCTCTAGATATGTGATCTGGAACTTCCATGAGCTCAAGCCTGGAGAGTTTAACTTTGATGGTGATCATGATATCCTCTCGTTTCTCAAGAAGGCCAATGATACAGGTCTAGCCGTCATCCTCAGACCTGGGCCCTACATCTGTGGAGAATGGGACCTGGTATGTAGGAAAGTAAAATAGAAATCTGGGGGTCGTTTCATGAAACCAATTCCATGACCGTCGTATCTTTGTCCGTGACCTATTTCACCAAACGATGATAAGCAAAAAAAATTCATTTGCCTTGAGATGGTGTACCTAAAAAGATATGACAGGTTTGGAGTTGCGACAACAAATTGTTGCTGAAGTTGTCGCTCATCTTGGCAAAGACAGATTTGTGAAACACTTAGTGGACGAGTTAAGCGACAGCGTCGAGATGTTGTTGATCTTGTAGTTATGACGGTTTTGAGAAACGACCCCTGCTGGTTGCTCTTTTTTATGGGTGCTGCTGTATGTACTTTTGTAACGCAAATCTTGCCTAGCACTTTTTGTCAGTTTCAAAGTATTGTTATTCAATTGCACCAACTCTCATCCTGAATCTGCCAAATTTTAATCTCCTTATTAACGTATCGGTAATACAATCTCCATCATCAACTTTGGCTGGCAGTTGGTAAGGGGAAATCGCCTACAAAATAATAAGGAGATAGCTGTTAAAATATTATCTGCTAGTTTCTGAACTATAACAACAGTTCCATACATTTTCTTTATCAAATCCAGGGCAGAGAAATCTTCACAAATAAATTGATCAACTTTTTTTCTCCAAATCGGCAACATCAATTTTTTATATTTCATTTGCTGTTTAAAAAAAATACATCTGAACTCAGACTTGTGGAAGAAAGGGTGTACAGTACTTTTGTACAAAGATTTTGTCAGGAGGATAGTGTATGGTGAACTGCATTTTTAAAAAAACATTTCTACTTATTTTTTTCCATTTGGGAACAAGGTGTACAAACCCTGGTTTAATGTTTTGATGTTTATTTTCTTGTTTACAGGGAGGACTTCCTGCATGGCTTCTCAACATTCCTGGCATTGTCCTTAGATCATCAAATGATTGTGAGTAGAATCCAGCCCTTTTCTATATCTTTAAAAGGCAGTCATCAAGCTGCTCTGTGGAGATGAGATGATGATCCTCTATTTATTTTGCTGCATTGGGATTTGGCCATTCCACCAAGTCCGATGTCAGGAAAATGTGGGGTAACTTCTGAAAGAATGCCTTTGACTTGACTATCTACCTGAGGGGCTAAGTAAAAAAAAAAATTGTATGTAAACAAAATAAATGGAAAATTACCTTATTTACAAACTGATTAAAAATGTACTGATTCAGCTGAGTTTTGACAGGCTTCTGTTACGCTGTCCAAAACTGATAACGATTTCAAACGGCTGAAAAATATTGTGGTCAGCAAAAAAAAATGTCATATTGAAACTATCAATTGAGTAGGTCAACTCTTTTCATCAAACAACACTAACAACATCATCATGGAGATTTTCTGTTTGTTTATTCAATGTCACCCCCAAAACGTATAGAAATATGATGGATATCAATTTATTTCTTAATTAGGTTCTCCCACTCCCCCCCCCCCCCCCCAGCTGACTCCCCTGCCAAATGTTACTTGATCTGTAACCATGCACATGTTTGTATGTATCTTTTTTGTAGTATACATGGCTCATGTCACAGAATGGATGAATTTCTTTCTGCCAAAGCTCCGGCCGTACCTTTACGTCAATGGAGGGCCTATCATCATGGTCCAGGTAGGTCCTTCTTTGACACCTTAATCAGGGGTCATTTGAGGTCATTGGGTTCTATAGAGTGGTGAAGTGTGATGTCATCAAAAATCTATTTTTAGAATTTCTCAATTTTTTCTTCATTTTCCGAAAGAGCATCAAAAATAATGTCCTAATGTCGAAAACTAATGGAATAGTATTGGCTGAGATATGACCATCTGAATAAATATATGTCCTATGGGAACTCAGTGTTGTAGTGCTGTGGTTCATAACATTAGGAACCAGAGCACTACAACACTGAGTTATAGGACATATATTTATTCAGATGGTCATATCTCAGCCAATACTTAACATATTCAATTGGTTTTCGACATTCAGACATTATTTTTGGAAAATGAAGAAAAAATTGAGAAATTCTCAAAAATAGATTTTTATGATGTCACAGCTTCCGTTCTCTATAGGGGCCATTTTAAAGGTGAACTTACATTCTTGCAAGAAACTTATTCCAAGGGGATCTCTCGAGTCCAATTTTCAAAGTCTTAGTTCAACCCTAAAAGGAAAAGGAAATAGGTAGGGCTGCTGGGGAATCATCCAATATAATTATAAAGATTTGTTAGCAGGCATTTGTAACTTTTTTTTTCTTCCAAGTCTTACACATGTGTTTTCACTTAGTTGGGAAAAAGGGGTGCCGCTTTGAAGTCATGTGACCACTTGTGACCTACTGCTAGCCCCAAAAATGGAGAATTTAAGGATGGCGCATATTCTGCCTGTTTGTTGTGGATAGTTGAACACTGTACATGCAGATGCATTCCCTAATGGCAACCTATAAGTCAGTGTAAAGACATTAATATTCATTTGCCTCTCTACACCCAGCTGATGTAAACGGTTACCCAGTAAGAAGCTCGGCTAGGGCCAGGGTAATGATATACTTTTTATGAGGCACATTATAGTATATTTGTAAAGTAACTGTGCTATATGAATTGACATGTAATGAACTTGTCCGGTATACATGTAAAAGTAGCGGTTTGAAATGTTGTTATTGTACACCAATCCCTCTTGTAACCAGGTCGAGAATGAGTACGGGAGCTACCAGACATGCGACCACCAATACCAGAGACAGCTCTATCACCTGTTCCGTGCCAATCTGGGTCCAGACGTGGTCCTCTTCACCACGGACGGACCAGGGGATCACCTTCTGCAGTGTGGCACGCTGCAGGATATGTACGCAACGATAGACTTTGGTGCAGGTCAGTTGGATGGCTGAATTGTGACTGTTTTACAGATTAAGAAAAAACACAAAGAAGACAAAATACAAAAACAATAGTTACAATAAACAAATGTATATATTTATTTATGTGTACATCTATATATATAGAATTGAGTGAATGAAACACAAAATAGAAATACAATTTTAACCTCCATCTATGAAAACCACAAAAGGTATGTTTCTGTCCCCTGACCCCTGTGTCTTTAACCCTTACTGTACTGGGCTATTTTGAGCACCCACTGACTGGGGGGGGGGGGGGCCTGGGAGGCCCCCCCCCCTATGATCTCGGCCGACGATTGTCCGATGAACACGAAAATTTGCATGTTTGTAGATATTTATGTAAGGAACAAGATAGTATAATTAGTTTTTTCCGAAAATATGCAAATTTTTGTTAGTCTAATTAATTATGCAAAATGCGCTAATATTATGCATTTTACAGAAAACGTGTCAAACTCCACTTTTTGAATGTTGAAACTCATTATTTATATGAAACTTCTTTTCTAACACAAAAAAGTTATTTTAATGTAATTAATAATGATAATTTATGCAAATTTTGATGGTTTTTAATTTTTTTAAATTTTTTTTTTATGACATGCGCATACTAATTGTTATGTAATGGCTTACAGGTATATCCGATTTTTACGAAAATGGTATCAAAATGTGCGTAAGACTTGAGGGAAAAAAGTCATGAAATGACAATTCAAAATTCCAAGTGGTTGTGGCGAAATCTTCGAAAATTTCGAGGAGGGGGGGGGGGGCCCCCCCCCCCCAGTACAGTAAGGGTTAACTATTTTCCTCTTGTCTACCAAGTTTTTTTAAACAAGATATCATCATTCTTTTTTTCATGTAGGATCCAATTCCACAGGAATGTTTCAAGAAATGAGGAAATTTGAGCCAAAGGGGCCTTTGGTGAGTTGAATTTTCTTCCTTCTTCTTTTTCACTTACAAATTTGTGACTTTGTTGGTATAAGGGTGTAAAGACTCCCTGCCTTGTTGAGGTTTTTGAAAATGTCTTTATTATTCCAGGGTATTTTGCCTGTGAAAAATTGGTTGTAATTCCTTCATAGTTGTTTTGAATATTCTGCATGACTGTGGTAACTAGTATTCAAATGGTTCTAAAGATTCAAAAGATTACAATTGTTATAATACTATACAAAAAATTGGAAGATGTAAATTTTGATCAAAATTTTCTTGTGTTTTGATGTTGATTATACGGTTGCATTGTTCAAAGTGTTTATCCTATACAAATTTTTTTTTTTTTTTTATGAAAGTGGACAATTTAATGCTAACTCTTTTAAACTCTTTTTATGCCACACAAGTACTCTCCCTGAGCCACATTGTATTTATCATGGGATAGATGGGATATCAAAGGCTTCAATATTACTCAACTGTGTCCAGTGCAAGATGTTATGTATGTCATGTAATGCCTGGCTGGAATGCTCCCCAGGGAGTGGAGATTGTGCACACGTTGTGTGCGGGCAAGCACTGAATCCAATTATTATTATTATTGTTATTAAAAAGTATTTCATCAAGCTAGTCAAGGCTGGAAATTGGTACTTTTGCAAAGCCATTGTGCTGCACAAAGCTATCCTTCCATCAGTTGATAATTATTATTTTGTGCAAAATTGCACATGTGGCAAACAAACGACCATGCAGAGAGGTGGAGAAAGCAAGCAAAGTGTTAAAGGTATAGACCAGTTTTGGAAACGCCCCTCTCTCAAAAAATGAAATGGAAGCTCTTATTACCAATCATGTGAAAGAACATGTTTTGACTAATACGTGATGATACAAATTTTGCCGGGAAACTGCCTACTAAATGATATATGTGGTAAATTATTATATCTATCTGGACTGGATAGATATCGCGTAGTCCCATAAACATCTTTCTGTGTACAGTGCTTGTAACTTTACCAAGACTGGGCCAAATTTCTTATCACTTTGATGATTCCAGGACCTTGTAGTACACACCAATACTTATTTGCTTGATGATCAACCTTTTCTGATTGATTCCACAACGTTTCTTTCACAATGCAATTGCATGACCATAACTGGTCTATACCTTAAACAATCTTGTTGTTGGTATTTTTCTTCTCAGGTCAATTCAGAATACTACACAGGCTGGCTGGACCACTGGGAGCACCCGCATCAAACCGTGAAAACAGCAGCTGTCTGTACATCACTTGACCAGATGCTTGCTTTAGGTGCTAATGTGAACATGTGAGTTCAGACGGCTGTAATATATATGGATGAGATCATGATTATCTTACTTTTTCATAATGATAGTACATTTAGATGAAATGTTGATGGCAGTGATGCACACCTATGATGGAACATTCATTTCTTCAAGTCAGGTCTATGTACTGTATATCAGGCAATAATCTTAGTAGACTTTGAAGCAATGAATGTACATTAACAGAAAGCTGTAAATATGTACTCTGCTGTTTTATCCAGTAATAATAATAATGGGTTCTTTTATAGCGCTCATGTCGCTCCTGGCGCTCCCGATTATTATCCTGGCTTTAGCACGGCTGCCATACGGCGCTCTAGCATTTCAAGGAATAAATTCTTACCAGGTACCCATTTATTACAGGTATACTGTGGAAAACTGCTTCCAAAAACCTGAAGCATTCAAATTTCATGACATACAGTTATGTGGACCGCACTTTACACTCATAATACTTTGCATAATACTTTAAATACGCTTAGGAACCTTTGGTACATTCTGTAACATTTTCCCACCACTGTTTGCCGTTCATTTATAGATTGAATTGTTTTCTTTTCCATGGTGGATATTTCTTGGTAAATGTAGTTTACCTTCCTATTATTCATTTATTAAAAGTATCTCTGAACTATCTTGCTTTTGCTTTGAACTCTTGTATTTTAGTGTCATACTTCAATGATCATAAAAGGTACCATGTAATGAAAGCAATATTTGTGTACAAATGGTTCATATAACAAGAAAAAAATGAATGGGTTCAAATTTACATTTTGATCAGGTACATGTTTGAAGGGGGCACCAACTTTGGGTTCTGGAATGGAGCGAACTACCCGACCTTTAACCCCCAGCCTACCAGCTATGACTATGATGCCCCACTCACAGAGGCAGGAGACCCCACCCCAAAGTACATGGCAATCAGAAATGTGATCGGAAAGGTGAAAGAATCCCATTGCTGTTCAGTTACTATCTAAACACCAAAATGATTTTACCCCCCCCCCCCCCCTGTCACAGAGGCAGGGAACCCCACCCCAAAGTTTGTTGCTAGTGGAAAGGTGATTAGTACAGTAGAAGGAATATAATAATTAACATTTCACATACAAATTACACATTTTTTCATCAACCTTCAACAATGTTACTGAGTCACTTTAAAGCAGTCGATATGTCTTTTATATGCCGAATCGAAACAAAAATCTACCAACAATTCTTACCTTACCCTTTTATTGAGTAAAGATTGGTTAAAACATCACAAAAAAAATCTGAGACACTGCTGGAAAAATGCCTGAAATTTTCAATCATTTGGGAATCGCAGACAAAAAGCCCTGTATGGTGTCCGTGCTCGCACAAAGACAATTTTAACAGGTAAACCAATGGGAATCGCGGCATGAGGGCATTTTTTTAAAAACTGTTGACTGGTAGGCAAGCATGGCTTAAAAGTCGACTCAAATTTCGATCAATCAGATGGCTAGATTTGTAAAGTGAGGTATATAATTCTTACTCTGCCCTTAAAACATTTGTGCCATATTTCAGTATCTTCCTCTACCTGCTGGACCCATACCCCCTCCCACCAAGAAGTATGCCTACGGGGTGGTGGAGATGGAATTCACAGCAACCATCTACGACGTCTTGGATCAGCTGTGCCCTTATGGACCAATCATGACGGACTATCCCATTACCATGGAAGCCATGCAACAGGTAGAATGGACAAGAGAGGGAGCCCTTTAGTTTATTTTTTCAGTCTCAGGAGAGTTTGGCACTTAGGTTAGAGTTGGGCACATTATGGCAAATACCTCTTTGTTGGGCAAGCACAAAACAGTCAATGCCGTGTTGTGACCAAATGAAGTGAAACAAATTTGATGTTACTCCACGTAAAGATGGCTCAGGGTATGTTACAGAGGCATCTTCCTGTAAAAAGAATTCTCACCATTGCATAATAAACTAGATGGTCTAACCGAGCATGGTTAAGAGATTTTAGACTGAACAACCCGAGGATAACTTCACCCTTGCAAGGAAATTGATGACAAGGGTGATAATAACATGTACACTCCTGTATGAAAATGCATAAAACTACTAAACCACTAAAAGCTTTCAAACATTTTAATAATAATTGTAATGTCATCTACTTCTACTTCTACGAGGATACTCAGCAGGATCCATAAGTCAGGATGTATAGTGCTGAGGAATATACTATCTAGTTCTTGGTCTAGATGCTGGGTGGAAGCTCTCCCTTGAAGCCCTCCAGTGAAGTAGCGTCAAGGGTGATCTTTGAAAGTGCAGTTACTGTCCGAGGGACAAATGAGTTCTGGTAGAGCTGGGTGCGGGATGGGATAGCCAGTAACTTCTTTGAGTGATGCTTTTGTGTGTTGCTGGCAATCATGGGTTCATGTTGCAAATATATCTACTTTATTACTGGTACATATGCTGCGACAGATTTTGATTCAAAACTGTTAACGTCCCCCCTCCCCCCCCCCCCCACTCCCCTCCTTCTGGTCACATATTTTGTGTAATTCATAGCATTCTCGATCAAATTACAATGCATAAAATTATTGTTATTGAAAAGGGACACTGTATCTCAATGGATTCATGTACACCCTCCAATACTCTGTATCTACAATGTACTGTTTGTGAAGATGTTGTGGTCGAATGGATAAAACACTGGAATTTGGATCTCATGGTTCATAGTTTGAATCCGGTTGTGGCACTAGTGTCCTTTGGCAAGATATTAATCTACATTTGCCACTCTCCACCCAGGGGTACCTGGTAGGGAGAAATTCTTTGAAGGCTTTAGCGCCTTATCATGGCGGATCGGCTACAGCCAGGGTCACATACTTTGTACTATAAGGCGCAATGTGGTGTCTTTGTATAGTAGCTGCATAATATAAATGCACATATTATTACACGGTATCACCTGTATTTGTATTGTTTACTGTACAGTATCAGGGATTCATGCTCTATCGTACCAAGCTACCACAGGACTACACTATTGCAAACCTGACCGTAGATGGCATCAGAGACAGGGGCTATGTCATCATTGATCAGGTAATAGAACAACTAGGTCCTGTTGCATAAAACTTATCGTTGATGGTAATTTTGCCATCAATGGTAACTTCCATGGAATACTTGGTTTTGATTGGCTGTTGAGCAATGTTATCATGGAAGTTACCATTGATGGCAGAGTTACCATTAATGGTAAGTTTTATGCAACAGATCCCTGGCATAGATTTGGGGTACCATGTTACCCCCACCCTCCCCCAAGTGAAGGGCAAGAAGAAGAAAAAAAAGGAGGGGGAAAAAAAGAAAATAAAGAAAAGGAAAAGGATGTAAAGAGAACAAGAGATAAAAGGAAAGTAAGAATTTCAGTGTAAGTGAAAAAGGATGAGAAAAGATCATGATAAAATAGTATGGCCCCTTTCTCTTAGCTATGGCTTTGTTTATATGCATTTGGTACAGTCAAATGAGATATACATGACTCATGGCTCTGAGTCTGTTCGATAGTCTCTATATGATATGGAAATTACATTATAATAAATGTATAGTTTTAATGATTTTTATTGATGAACCATCTAAATAAGGCATGGGGGTTAAATGAGCACACAATTGTGTGTGCATGAATTAGGTGAACTTTTGAGTGATTTCATACAATGTGCTCAGGCGTCGACAGACTAGAGCTTTGACTTTTTGTTTCTTTCAATTATTGGAAGTTATGGATGAAATGTATCTGTATATGAACATTTGCATCATAATAATACAAAAAATAATAATAATAGGGATGATATTATTATATTATGCAAAGGTTGGCTTACCAGAACATAATATTATTTATGATGTTTGCATTTGTTCAGGTTTGGGTTGGAACGTTGAACAGAGTGAACGCAACCACTATGAACATCACAGGAAGTGAAGGAATGACCCTTGACATTTTTGTAGAGAACCAAGGTCATATCAACTATGGGTCAGGACTCTATGACCCAAAGGTAGGACGTACTTCATCGCCATATATTTTTATTCTTTTTATTTCTTCATTTCTCTTTTTCTTCTTCATCATGCTCTCCTTCTTGTCCACCTCCTTGTTTCTTCTTTGTTTCCTCCTTTTTTTTCCTTCTTTTTCTTTTCCTCCTTTTCCTATTTTTCTTCCTCCTTCTCCTTCTTCTTTTCTTGTTCTTAATCTTTATCGTTGTTCTTCCTCTTCATTCTCTTCCTTCCCCTTCCTGTGTTTTTTCTTCATCTCTGTCATGTTTGTTTCCTTCTCTTCTTAATCTCTTTGTTTCCCTTCTGTTTCTTCTTTTATGTAATTGAGTTACTCAACTCATTTGCCCTTGCGATGCTTTGGATGGTAAATATTATATAAATAGTGAATGGCCATGAGTGCAATGGTACAAAATTTTGTACGAGGTGAAAGATAAGAGACGGTTGAATGGAGCGTCTCATCTTTCACCGAATGCAAAATATTGTTCCATTGCACGAATAAAGACCATTCACTATTTGTTTTATACAACACCTCGGACGTTATCAAGATTTAAACAATTTTTGTTTAAAGAACATTTTTTTTAAGCCTAAATCTCAGTGATTTTTAGATTTTTTTTATTGATAAAATTGCCGATAGTGAGCGCGCACTATTATTAAGCAGGCACGCAGCTGTTGCGCACGCCATGGGCGTACCATGCTTTATGTTTATTGTTACGCCGAGTGCCATTTCTGTTGATCCATTCGCACCATTGCACGTTGACTTCACTTAGCTCACAATATACTTTGTACATCGTTAGTGACGTCAGAGTGCAATGGTGCGAAAGGATCAACTGGAGTTGCACGGCTGGAGAATGATGCCGCTCAATGGTAATTTTAGCGCATGTCATGTGATCAAGAATTGACCAATGAGGTTGCAAGAATCTTAGTAGGCGTTGTATAATGGTTCTTAGGCCTTTAATAATACCTGTTTTGTTTTTGTGTTTGTTATCACCCTGCAGGGCATCATTAGTAACGTCACGTTAGACGGTGCCATCCTTGAAAAATGGTCCATCTATTCCTTAGACCTGGACAACATTCTTCCAAAACTCCAATCCCTCCATCGTCAGGGGAAGCGCAAGATGGGAAACACTGTCCAAGAGAGGGCGCCACACTGGAGAGATGGAGGCTACGTACCATCGTTCTATCTAGGATCATTTCCAAATCTTTCAGCGATCGATCCACCGCAGGATACCTTCTTGAAGTCTAGCGGCTGGACAAAGGTAATAATAATAATATTGGATTCTTATATAGCGCACGTATCGACCTTGCAAGGTCCTCAAGGCGCTCCAACATTATCCGGCTATGCTAGGCTGCTGATTTCAGCGCTCACAGCATTTTAAGGAATTCCTTCCTACCGGTACCCATTTAACACCTGGGTGGAGAGTGGAAAGTGTAGATCAATGTCTTGCCAAAGGACATTAGTGCCGCGACGGGACTCGAACTGCGGACCCTGTGATTAACAGTCCGACCACTTATCCACTTCGCCACAACACTTCTAGGGATAAATGATATGCTCTTTTACCAGGCAAAGAAATTTGACTTTCAGTTAAATCAATATCATGGTAGTTGGGTTGATGCCTCTTGTTTAAAGATATGCACCTGCTCGTATTTGTAGGGTAATTTGGGGAGGTTCCCAATTTCCCATACATTTGTATGTCCTCTTGTGGCTAAAAGTCCTGTTCCTAATGTGCACTGGAGTTCACAGGTCCAAATCAGGTATTAAGAAATACTAGACCTGTAAATAACAGAAAGAAATGAAGGTTAAAATTCCGGTTTAAGTTTCTAGGAAGTACTGAAAACAAGACACCCCCCCCCCCCCAACAATCAGCAGATTACATTTTATAGGGATGAATATTGATGTATTTTACCTTTCCAATACCCAAATTGGATTTATTTGGTTCATTTAATTTTAATTGTCAATGTTATTTTTAATCTTGCCCACTCTCCCTTTGGGGTGCCTTTAATCAGCCTCTCATTCTCCCCTCTTCCGTCCATCAAAGGGCCAAGCCTTCATCAACGACTTCAATCTGGGCAGGTACTGGCCTCGGGCCGGACCCCAAGTCACGCTCTTTGTTCCAGCCAACCTACTTAGACCAAGTCCAGTCGAGAACACGGTCCTATTCTTGGAACTAGAGAGACCGCCTTGCTTCAATCAGACTGAAGCATGTACTGTAGAGTTTATAGATCGACCAATAATCAATTCCACTGTCGCTGCTAGACCAGATGAGACGTTCAGGGACAGAAAGTATATTCCTGAAGGGCATGATTTTACTAATCTCAAGCATTGAATTATTTTATTATGATATTTCATGTAAAATGTGTTTTTATAGACTGAGGCTATTGGTGAAAAATTGAAATTATAATTGTAAAATCTCTGTGTGCAAACCATTGAGTCAATATTACTCTGTCAGTATGTATCATCTATCTGGAGCCACAAGGAAGTTAACTATATGTGAAATGTTTGAGTTAATGCCTTAGTATATATTAGCATCCACAGTAAAGAACAATTCAAAAATATTGTAGAAAAGCATCGTTTAATATACATCTATATCTGTCCAAATGCATCATTTTTCATAAACCAAACATTTAAAACCCCACTGTACTACTTGTAGCTACTTGCTCCCTCTATATAGAAAAAAAATGCCTAATCAGTGACCATTGGTCCCCCATGATCCTCTTTTTCTTATGTTAATTGAGAGCTGAGTTGATGAGATAGCCACCTGTCAGTGACCACCCTGGGTGGTATAATCCCTCCCAACAGGCTTTAAGGCACAATTTTATAGATATGACTCAGAGATGTAGCAAAAATACATGTATACCGGTATATGCATTCAAGTAGTATTTTTAGACAAAGCAAGTACATGTACATGTACATGAAGATGTAATGAAATTTGACTGCTTTGCGTAACACCATGCAGTGGTTAGTGCATACAGTATATATCACTAAATCTACAAGTGTATCTCTCAAATAGATTTCTAATAAAAATGCATTATTCTGATGATTCTCATGCATTTTGTAGTCAACTTTCCCACCTTGAATCTAACTAATCTTTTGTTTTATGGTGCATAGAACTTGATCTTATGTTTTGTAAATATTTTGTCCCTGGTCCATTCATGGTCCATTCATAGTGAGTTAGTGACCATTGCGTAAGTACATACATATTTTACATGTATGCATGTGTATTCATGTGTATTTTTCACATGCATTGTAGGAACGCTACTCTGATGTTCATGTACATTAACAGTATGTACGCTTTATAATCCTATTGGGTATACTAATATAGTGATTCTGTTCAAATTATCATTTCCCAATATTTTAGGGCTTTAGATATCATTTTTATGCAAGTTTTGTACATATTCTTTTTCTATCAAAACTGAAAGTCATCTGAAATAAGACAGTAAGTTGCAAATTAAAGGTACTCGCTTGATTGAAGAAAAAAACAATCATATTTAATTGTCCCTTTTAAGTTTCAACATGATAATGTATTTGATTGTCAGTGTGCAATAAAAATACAAGTGCTGGAAATTGCTTCTCAAGTTTGAATTGTTCAATTTGTAGTAAGCCATCGGTATACAATTTACTAAGCAGAAAAATATTAACAATGTACCGGTACATGTAAATGTCATTTAATAAATAATGATAATTCTTGATGTGAGTTTGACAGTCAAACAGAAAGTTTGAAAGTTGAAACGCAAGAAGTGCTTCGTATTCCATTTCAAATAAATGCCTCAATACATTTTTTAAACAAATCTAAACTTTGTAACCGAAAATTGAAATGCGCATTACGTCATTGTGTTAGCCAAGAAATTTGGCAGAATCTTGAATAAATTATTGATCTTTTTATGCTTTTGATTGTTTTGTACCTCCTTTTCTGTGTACATGTATTTGGATTGTTAGACGTATTGATTGATAATATAGTGAGCAATATTTTAAATTAGAATAATTTTACTCAACATTTTCCTTAATTATCAGTGATCAGACACCATCAAAAAAATATGTTAGAAAAGAGATAATCACCATTACAGTTAACTTGACATGAGCATGTACATTAAAGATAAAGTTGAGTTCTGGTCATGCGATTGCATTGTGAAAGAAAAGGTGTGGAATGGATCAGAAAAAGATGATCATGTAGAATGTAAGTATTGGTGTGTACTGCAAGGTTCTGGAGTCGTCAAAATCATAATAAATTTGGACCAGTCTTGGTAAAGTAACAAGCGCTGTACACAGAAAGATGTATATGGGACTACACAAATAGTGTCGAGGGCCCGACACTTTGATTTCTTTATCTTTCTATGCTCATTACTCAGCCATTATACATTTTCTACCAAAATTGTTTGGCAAATGACATTTATTTGTAATCTTGAACATTCAATGTAAGTTTTGTTTGATTCTGTGAGAATTTATTTTCTTTTTTTTTACCAGAACTCAAGTTTATCTTTAACAACCATTTCTAAAAGTAGCTTCGATGTTTTTATGGTCTCGGCATTTTTATATTGGTCTGTACCACTTCACCAGAGTTTCTTCAAAACTAATCTTTCATGAGCTCACTTGTGTTCTTTCTATCGGACAGTCTCACACCACACATCTTCTGTATTATGGCTCTTTCTGTTCCAAAGATAACCTCTGCTACTGTTTTCCACTTCCAAGCTTCTGAACCATCTACATGTACTAACACAAGCTGTAATATAGATTTTGCCATTTATTCTCACCATCTCATTAAACTTCATCCATCCCAATCTGCATCTTCCTGCCACTGCAATCTCACATCCACCACCATTATTTATTATATCCCAAAGACAGCAAAACCTATCGACCTTCTCAACATCTACCATTTACATCTCTTCTTTAATAATCGTATTTTATTATACCCAATCACACATTGGGATATTTTTTACAGCAAACCAAAAGCAGCCTAAATATTATTTTATGATACTTCACCCTCTGCTCTCAGTAGAAAATTGAACCAAAATTAAAACTGATTTGTACAGTAGGTGTAATTCCTCTCAATACGACTACACCTGTGTCAGTGATCTAACATCCATTGCAGTGATATTTTGTCCTAATCTTTCCTCAAAGATCAGGGGTGATATTGAGGGGGGGGGGGGGGGAATAGCATATAACAACATTCCCCCCCCCCCCTTTTTGAGTAAGAAAAATTGGGAAAAATAGGGAAGAATAGAGAAAATAAGGAAAACATCAGGATAAAATCGGGAAGAAAAAAAAATTGGGTAAAAAGAATATTTAAAAAAATTGGGAAAAAATAAAAAAATTGGGAAACCGATTTAAATCAGGTTTTTATCAGGCCTGAAAGATTAATGGTGGAAAATTAGGCTGTAGGTTAGGATTAGGTTTAGGATTTTGTGTAGTGTTTGGTCTAGATTTGAAGTTTAAGGATTAAAAAAATGTAAGAAATAAACTGAAGCAATTGCCGCTGGAGATATGGTTCATTGGACACAGGTTCATTACAATACAAAAGCACAAAAGACTCACAATACAAGAAGTTTTTTCTTTCTCTCTTTATTCCAAAATTAATTTTATTTTCAAAACGTGATGAAATTAACAGATTACACTAGGCACGAATATGGAATCACCTACGGAACCACATTTTTCTTTTTTACACATATATTGCACCAATTATTAGACGGTTAGGAGACATGATATCTTGAAATTAAGTAATCGCACATTGATTATTAAAATGGATGTACCAGTGTATGATCAGGGACATGATAGAGATGTCCCTGGTATGATCAAGATAAAGAAATTGTTAAGTTACGAGACCTATACACAAAGCAAAATATAGTTGGGTAGAAATCATTACAAAATAACAGAGTTGAATTTTAAACTATTTCTATCGATAGAAAAGAGACAGTTGTTTACATAAAATTATGACTTCACCAGAATAGTTGTCAAATCATGTACATAAAGATAAAAAAGTGTCCAAATCAACCGACATAAAATCTGGATAGTTATAAATATTTAAATTCCTGAATCCATTGCTGATATTTGATATATACCTGTAGGCAGTCCTCTCAATTTATTTTGGTTTGGTAACAAGAACAAAAAAAAGCACCTCTTTCCCAGTGTTAAACACAATACCCCTCCTCACCGATCTCCAAGCACCCCCTCCCCCCCCCCCAAAAAAAAAGTTAAAGGTAGACAACAGAATACTTAAGTAAGAGTGTACTGCAGTACATTGGTAAAGATCCCCCGACTCTCGTATGAGAGGTTTTGGGTTCAATATTTGCCTAGTGCTTACATCCCAGACAAGGTGTTTGTCCGTATGCGTCCATATATTGTACTGCATCTCAAAATGGAATGGGTATGAGTGTATTGGGTGTATTTGAACATGAGGGGGTCATTTGCCTGACCCCTCTTAATTTCTGTCTCTGCTTACATATACAAATACATGTCCAGTGAAACGTCATAATTATACAGAACACTGTCGTATCATACTGTTCGTAGCAAGGTAATTTTTGCTGGTACCACTTCTTTGTATTTTGGTGTTGTTTCTTTATTTGCCTGGGTAGTAGAAAACTGCTGCAGCACCCATTCCAGTACCGATACACATGGACACTACACCATAGGCCCTAGTAATGGAGAAAAGGTCAAAGGTTAGCCAATGCATTGATCCTGGTGAGGGGGAGGGGAGGGGTATTTAATAGGCCATTTGCCTACTCCTCCAACCAACTATATTCGGATTAACGGTGACCTGTCGGCTTAATAGCACCAATTAATCCCTTGAATTCAATTTTTTTTTGGCAACAAACATGTAATATATTCCAGTAGAACCTACTTTAAATGCATAATATACATGCTTAGAGCAATCAAGAACATTTATGAGGTATTCAGAGAAATCGCCCTTTGTCCCACATCGCTGTTTGGATTTGCGACTTACATTATTGGTTATTCTAAGCGGGTCATACACGTACATGTATGTATCACATACGCTGTTGATCATCAACCACAGAATTGACAGCCAGTGTTGCAATTATTCATTACGAAGAAAACTTGAATGGATTTCTCTTTCCTCCAAGGTTATTTTGTGGCTCCAGGACTATAAAGTAAGATGGGAATCTATTGCTTTTGATTGCCCATAAAGACTGACAATGTTTCAATATGATGACAAAGAAATTCCTCAGTCGCAAGGAGTTTTTATAAATAAGAATCTACTATAAATGTACAGTCAAACCTGCTTTAGTGACCACCTGTCTACAAGGACCACATTTTTTGTTTCCCTTGAAAGTGCTTCCTCATTAAAACATGTACTTATTAGGAACCTGTCTACAAAGACCACCTGTCTACAAAGGCCACTTTTTGTGTTTCCCTTGGGCGGTCGCTATAGACAGGTTTGACTGTATTACGTAAATCAGTTAAGATAAGAAACATAGTCATTTTAACTTGAAACCCGTCATTTCTGCGCTTACCTGTTACCCCTGCGGTCCAACTCGTGAAGAAGTGTACCGATCTGTCGTGCCCCTGTGCAGCCAAGCGGATGACCCAGTGCTATAGCGCCACCATTCGGATTAACCTTCTCCATGGGAATGCCGAGCTTCTGTACGCAGTATGTCGCCTGGAATGTCAAATTTACAGCAGCGGTTTAATACAGGAAATAATGACTAAAGACTCTAAAGAAATGCCAAATTCTGTAGGTAGTATGTTGCTTGGAATGTCAAAGACTTGGAGAAAAAAAATTACTTGAAAAAGAGGTACAATATCTCATTGTTCTGGAAGGTATGAAAAAGGTATTAAAAACAACATAAAAACAAGTAAAAATGCTTGAAATGGTAGATGTACATTTTAAATGCAAACCTGATATAAATATTGCAGTAAAAGTTCTTTTGAATTAGTCATAATCAGTCCAGCTAGGCAAATTTGTTTCATTTCAGTAATATATTGCCTCATATCTGGACAGTTCCCCACCCAACATGGTGTTCCCAGATATGCCATGTACAATAAAAAAATAAACAATAATAATGATAATAAAGCTTTAATACTGATCAGAACTACATGTACTGTACATGTATTTTCATATGACTATGATAAAATATTTTATTTCAGTTATAAATCCCTATTACTTTGTTGGATTAATGCAAGAATATATTTCAGAAGAACACCTCATAGAAACTTGTGTTTCACATGTATTACCTCACATGTATCAACAAATCTAGTAAATACTTGTACTTATTCCTCTGAAAATTTATGAACAATACAAGGGATTTAATTCGAATACATGTAGATCAGGCACAGAATTATAACACGACGTATCTCATAGATGAAAGGAAAATGATAACTTCTTATTACCTGACTTGCAAAAGCTTCATTGATCTCAAAGATTTCAACGTCATCGACCGTCAAGCCTGCAGAAAGAACAAAAGTGATGCAAGGTACATCAAGGTTTAAAAAATGATATTGTCAAAGCAAAAGATGTGTCGACTGTGGCCTAGGGAACTGAGAAAACAATAATCACTGCCTCTTTATAATAGGCAACGCGTTAGGTGGGTATGTTATTCATAGCAAGTGCATTGTGTTTGCTTTTTTTACTGAACTTACTTGGAAAAGGGGAGAGAGCGTATCATATATATCTTTGTAAGCTATAGCACTATTCATAAACCATACATGTAACAGTAGGGGGTAACCTCGGTTTAGTGGTCCACCTGTACACCCCAATCAGTTTTACCGGGAGGTGAGACCTTTTAAAGGGTTACATCGATTCAGTTTCGCTTTTCGCCTCCCAGGCACAGGTGATGCCAAATACTTAATAATAATAATAATTATAATCGAACATCTTGCAATTATCACAGTAACACCAAGAAATAGGAACCCATGAGGGAAAGTCGGCTGCTCATTTAAATCCAGTAGAGCCCCCTCCAACATTCTGAAAACTTTCTGCCCTACTGCCTCTGGATTTGCTAAAAAGCCATGACTTACCCGCCTTCTTAAGGGCCTCTGGGATGGCGTAGGCCGGTCCGATGCCCATGAGGGACGGTGGGACACCCACCACAGCGTAGGATACTAGGACACCCATCACAGGGAGGTTGAGAGACTCGGCAGCCTGTCGACTTGCTACCAGCACTGCTGCTGCTCCGTCACTCACCTGGCTGGAGTTTCCTACATGTTGGAAGAAATTTTCCGTGAATTGACTACTGAAATAGACTAAATAGTACGGAACAGAATGGTGAGGATGGAATGGAATTGAATTGAAAAGAAAGCTAGAATGTATAAAAACCGACTCAAGCACAATTTAACCAGCATCCATTGGCCTACAGATTAGGGATTATGAAGAAGATTTAAAAATAACCAAACAACTGGCGCACATGGAAGTCATGTTGCATTTGGGTTCTGTTTGGGGCCCTACTTCATGTGAGCGTATGCAGGGCACCATTTCACAAAACTTGTCAGCAGTGACAAATGACAGTTTTTGTAATAACCTAGTGAAATCCTTGCTTCTGATTGGTTATCAGCAGATTTGTCACTGATTTTTGTCATTTGTCATTAAAAAAAGGCTTTGTGAAACGGGTCCCTGGTGTATCAAGTAGTCTTCTCACAAATTGCTTTGATGTTAAATGAGAGAGTATTTAAACTTCCAGTATTTGAAACTCATTTGAAGCTTATATAGTATAGCCACACGTAACCCCTAATATACAGAATAGAATATGTTTTTGGTGATTATTACACTTAAAAGGAAAAAGTAAATAAATATGGAATTTTGCATGGTGGTTTCTTACCGGCTGTGGTAGTGCCTTCTGGGGAAAATGCTGGTTTGAGTTTAGCAAGGCCCTCTATGGTCGTGTTACCACGTACACCATCATCCTTGGTCACCTGACAAGAAGGCAGATGGAAATAAATTAACACCAAACAGCATACCCTCTATTTGGCTCTTTGTGATAATATACACTATATGCATCCTAACAGTAAGTAGTATCAATGAATATCAAATTTGATGATGTGAATGAATTACAAAGTATACAGGTAGAAAATAGAAATTTCAGAAGAAAACAAAGAAAGTTAGATTGAAATGTAAACTGTGGGAAGTGCAAATAAGCAGAACACATTGTAGGAGATAAATGAATGCGATACATGTAAATTGGAGATAGATTAGTGATACAGTTAAATGTAACAATAAAATACAATTACATGCAGCTTAATGGAAGACACAGTTTGCAGGAAAGAAACTACCATACACTTTGATTATAGGAAATCATAAGATTATCAAAGATGAGGAATTAATTATACTATCAAGGAAATGGAAGTTTAGAAGAAAATTGTAAGTGCAAATGGCAAAAAAGATGAGGAAATGAAAAGAGCAAGATGAGTCAAAGAATTTTAAACATATAAAAAAGGGAGAGAAATCTGCTAGAAGAAAAGGAAAGTAGATGAATATAAATGAAAAAAAAGTCACACAGGAAAGAGATAAGAGTAGGCATTCATTGCTGTAAATGGTCCTTTTTGCCCAGCTTCACTGAGGGTCACCATTGAAACAGAAAGAAGAAAACAAGGAAAAGAAGGATACAGAAAATCAAGAAGTAGTAAAGGATGATAAAGAGGAAAGAGAAGATAAAGAAAAGGAAGAAGAACAAATTGCTTTAAAAACAAGAGTTAGAGGTGGAAGTTACTTACTGTGATAGGGCTTTCTTGCCCCGCCTCATCGATGATCACTGTTGTAACGGGAATGATCTCTCGGTCAAAATAACCTTTTGTCTGTGCAGCTGCTGCTCTGTAATACACCAAATTAACAAATACAATCAAATCTTAATCTTTTTGATCAAATCACCAATATGTCTCCATTTACATTTAAAAATATAAAAAACTAGATTTTGAAAGTTTTCTAATAATACTTGCATTTTACTCTGTAGAACACACTTTATAGCAAAGAACATTCAATAACATTATTTGTCAAAAATCAAAATACAAGTAACCTTTCCCCTCATTTGAAGCATACAAAAAGAGCATAATGGGCCAAATATTATTTTGATTTTTCTGTCAGTGGCTATCTCATTTTAAACTCCACATTGAATCATGATGGAACATGCTAGGCCTAAAGAAACAAGCCTTGACACAGGGGATTATAACACATTCAGGCACTGCTGTCACAATACCAAAATAAATTCGAATTTGCAACATCAAAGAAATTATCCTTTATCAGCAAGTCTACTGAGACTTAATGCATGGACTTTACTATGTGGCTACCAATTTATCATATTTCTCGTTTCTGTATTCAATGAAATCATTGTATTTTTTATGATGCACTCGTAGACAACCATTCAAATTTGATATATTTTGTTCCTTTTGAAATTCCAAACTTAAATGTCTCTGAATCTCTGAACATTCAATGGAGTTATTGAAGGAAAGACTTTCCTCTCATAACTGTTCTGGAATCATGTTTTGCAGGATTATACATATCGTTCTAGATCATTTACATAACCTAAGATTTCTTCGTTTCAGATAAGTCCTATACTGAATCACCCTTGTCTATATGTAAGCCAAAGATTCAAACACTGTTCCAAACACTCTAGATAGCTCTACTTTGATCAGTGAGGTACAGTTCAAATCATATTTGTTTTGTTGAGCAAGAGATATGATACCCTCCCTACCAATGAGATTAAATATGACCTTTGATCGCCTTGGGTTAGACCAAGATTGAATGTGTGACCCTGAAGGCTTTGCACTTGTCTTATCAAGGTAGAAGATACATGAAATCTTATACATGTACTGGGGGGGGGGGGGGGGGGGGTGTTTCACAAAGACTAAGATCGACTTTAAGTTGGACTTCCCCATGGTAGACGGTTCATGTCACAGTTTGCTCTCTCCATTCACTGGCATATGCTCTCAAGGGACATACAAATCATGGTCACAAATCTACAGAATTTACATTTTTTTATGATTCATTATTAAAGGAAATACTATTAATATCCATTTATCATAATGGTGAGAGCAAACAGTGGCATGGGCGGCCTGCTATAGTATGTCCTACTTAAAATCAAGCTTAGTCTTTGTGAGACACTCCCCAGTACTATGATTTATATATATATATATATATATATATATATATGAACAGGGCAGATTCAAGGTATTGTACATGTACAATTTTAGTTTATCCCATGAATTATGAATTAGCAACTACACTTTATATCAAATAATATAATATGCACAATGGTTGTATCACATTAGAGCAACATAATGATGTAGGTAGGATCAGACCCCCCCCCCCCCCCCCCAACAACAACAAAAATAAAAATAAACAAAAAATAAACAATAAAATAAATAAATAAATGAATAAATAAATAAGGCAAAATTAT